TATTTGTAAACTGATGGAGACCCATGTCCTGTATGTCTATGATCTCTATCAGTTGGCCATTTGTTTTCTTTCCTTTCCTTTGTTTTTGGGCAGCCAGGAGTGCCTGAGGACTATCACACACATCCCACCTGTGGGGGTTTGTGCTAGCTTGTATTTTGCCTCAGCCTGCCTCAAGCTCCCTCATCAGAAGTGCCTGGCTGCTCCTCACATGGCTTCCACTGACACAGTGGGGGTGGGGTGGCCCCTTGATTTCTGGGTGGTGATGAAAGTCCTCCTGTTCACTAGGCCTATGATAACACTCCAGTGGAAGAGTGAGGAGGAGGGTGCCTTTTTACTGCCGGGTAGGGGTGGGAATTAGGTTCTCTATGGTCTCTGCTGATGCCGCAGGAAGTGGCCAGGGTTCATTACCACCTGGAAGGCATGAAAGTCCCAATTCCCTACTGGGCCTTCTCTGACGTTATCTTGGTGGGATGGTTGTGGCACTTTATCACAAGATGGTGAAAGTGACGATCTAGGTTACTATTTGGCTTTTGCTGGTTTGAGTGAGGAGAACGTTTGGATGAGGTAGGACAGTTGTTGTCTCAAAGTATTCTTTCTTGTTAGCTTGCACTTTTGGGTAAGAGAGAACAACAGGCTTTTGTTAGTCTTTTGTTTTGCATTGTTCTGTTTGTGTCTTTTGACATTTCTGGGTTGCTGGCTTCTTTAAGCTCCTGGTCTGGGAATTGGAGGCATAAAAAAGCACACTCCAGGAAATTTACCTCTTTGTTTTTCCTTGAATCCTAAGGTCCCTAGATAGTCTGCCTTCTTCTCTTCACCTTTTAGTCTCTTTACACTTACACTTGTTTTATATATAATGTTCCAAGTTTTTCATTGTACTTAGTGGAAGGAATAGGGAAAATTATGTTTACTGTATATTCTGTAATTCCTAACTTAAAAAAATGTTTATTTATTTTGAGAGAGAGAGCCTCAGGGGGAGGGGCAGAGAGAGGAGAGAGAGAGAATCCCAAGCAGGCTCCAGGCTGTCAGGGCAGAGCCCCACAAGGGGATGTAACTCATGAACCATGAACTCATGACCTGAGCCAAAATCAAGAGTCGGATGCTTAACCAACCAAGTCACCTAGATGCCCCTCCATAAGTCCTAACTTTTTAAAGCATATCAAATGGATGTACTTGTGGGCTATAAAGCAAAACGTTTCTCTGTGCTGTACATAAACAACTCTTGTTAATCTTAAAATATTGTAAATCCAGCTCTCTTTAATATTATAATACTGTTTACCAACTTAGTCAAATACTCTTACCGATGTGATGCGGGCCAGGAGGGAACTGTCAAGAAAGAATTCTTGAGACATTTTCAGTGTAAAAAGGTGTTTTTATTAAAGCGTGGGGTCAGGATCTGTGGGCAGGAAGAGCTGTAATGGGGTTGTGAGGAGCTATTGATGATAAATTTTTAAGTTGGTGGTTGTAGAGATAAAGACAAAGGAAGTTTCCAAAAGGATTATGGTATGCCAAAGAAGACCTAGGGATCCTGAAAGCCCAGCTATTGTCCAGCTAAAGTTGATTTTGGCCTCTAGCAAAGCATTAACATTAACCCAGTTGTAAGTTCTTTGAGGAATGACAATTCTGCCAGTCTCAAGTATTTGTTAATGGACTGCAAGTTTTAGGGAAGTTTAATTTTATCTATATTTCTTTTGCCTTTCTTCTCCTTATGGTTACATCTACCCATTTAAAACTGTAAGTCTGAGATCCATTTCACTTTTTAAATTGGAAAGATTTAATGAGTTAGATTCTCTAATACGCCAGATTGTGCAAACATCACAAGGACTTTCGAAAACAAGGATAAACTTGATATTCTTTTTTAAAGTTTATTTATTTTGAAACAGAGAGAGAGACTGAGCAGGGGAGGGGCAGAGAGAGGGGGAGAATCTCAAGCAGGCTCCATTCTGCCAGCGCAGAGCCCGATACAGGGCTCATACCCACAAACCATGAGATCACGGCCCCTGCAGAAACCAAGAGTCGATGCTTAACCGACTGAGCTACCCAAGAACCCCATAAACTTGATATTCTTAAATTTAACCTTAAGCACAAAGAGAACAAACACTATGGCAGCAGGGTCCTGCAGGTCCGTCTCTTCAGATGGGACTGTTTATAACCCCATTGCCCCTGCACAAATGATTCTTTCACAATCTTTCATAATCTTTCAGTCATACCTCTTGTTTGGGTAAAATTCTATAGCACATACTAGCATGCGTCTCCAATGGGTTAGATTCATCTAATTTATTTACCTTCTGATTTTTGCATCTGGCAACTGGCCGTCGACAATTTTAATGACATTCCAGAGATGGAGAACCTAAATCCTGTGGTGTTTAGGAGCATGTGTGTGGCAGTCAGGCTAGATCTAGGTTTGAGAGAGTTCCAACTGTGCAGTTAGTAGTTGGGTGTCCTTGGCTAAACCTCAGCTTATTCTTCTATAATAGGGTAACAATCTCCATTTGAAAGGGCTGCTGTAAGGATTTAACAAGTGCAGTTTATATGCACTCATTAAACAGTAAATAGTAATCTTCTGTTCCACAAGCATTTACTCAGCGTCACTGCTTAGTTGGCTCTAGTTTTTGTAGCTCCTGTGATGAACATGATTGCCTTTTTTACATCTTTCCGTGGCTCTTACAGTTCTTTCATCTCAGCCTGTTGGTTTATCCATTGTGACTGGGAAATCAGGCTTTCTTTGATTTCCTTGGGAACGTGAAGCAGTTATTAACTGCAATTTTATTCTCTTTTCTCAAGATGATCTTCAAATATACTCTTCCCCTCCATGCTCTGCTCTGCTCTTTGTCCTACTATGTTCTTTTCCTTTTTTTTTTTTTCCCTGTAGAAATTCTGTATATCTTTCGTGCTGCTTTTTGTTCTGGTTACTCACCTCTGAGTAATTAGAGAACCATTTTATCCTCACCTGATATTGTCCCAAAAACAGTGTCAGTTGATACATCTTGATTCCCTTCCACATTTATCTGGGCATCCATTGCTTCTTAACCTCCACCCGTGGTGGAGGCCGGCATGCTGACACCTTTTTTTCTGTTCAGCCTCTGAGCTCCCTTAAGAGGGTCTAGTACAACGTTTCAGCGGCAGTCTTCCTCTACAAGCTTTGTTTTTACTGTCTCAATGTGTTGAACATCTGTACTGTAGGCTCTCTAAAGAGGTGGGGGCATGGCTTGTTGCCTGGGTTTTTGATTTGTCCCTCTGTTTTGGGGAGAGACAGCCACTCTGTTGAGAAAGTTGGGCCTTTGTTTTCTGAGTCGCCAGGCATATTTCTCCCAGTTCAGATCTGGTCTGTGGCTGTGATTAAGTGGGCTTGCCTTCCAGCCTTTCCCGGGCCTGTCAAGGAACCCTGGTCGGAGAAACAGTGCCATCGTGTGGCCACTCTGCATTCTCTGCAGGCCTGCTCCCACTTCTTTTAAACCTGTGTGGGGAGTGGGTGGGGCCTGTGGGGTCAGAAACCAAATGGATGTCTCTTGTTCTTCCTGCCACCCTCCTATCCTCTGCTTCCTCCGAGGCTGGACGCCCCTTCAAGCTGAGGGCAGGGGACCTGCCTGGCCTTCTGAGACTCCTCACAACCATGTCCAGAAAGGGGACTCAAGACTTGGCTCCCTTGAGTTCTCCCTGCACTGGGTTTTGTCTTTATCCTAGGTCGTTTTTATTTTTCAAACTACCAAAAAGACAGTTTTTGTAAATGTGATATAGTAGCGCCATCTTTTAAAGAAATATCCTGAGAAAAGTGAGAAAGCAAAATGAATCTTAATTTTTCTCCATTTTTCTGTTCCCAAGCCTTTTCTCCAAGCCCATCTTATTTTTTTAAAAACGGCTTTTTTTTTTTTTTAAACAACCATCCCACCTTTTGAGGTACACTGTCCCCATGACCTTGCCCATATCCTACCACAGGGTACATTCAGACTGTCCCTCCTCTATATTAAAAACTGGATCTTATGTGTTGTTAGCTCAGGGCTCTGCTATGCTCTGAGCTTCTGGATTCAAGATGATCAGGGGCTTACACTTCAGCACCTTTCAAGAAACAGGAGGATTTTGACTCTGATCTCCTAGATTATAGTAGCCCATCCCAGGAGCAGTCTGCTACTTCTGGATGTAGCAGGGGAGTTTAATATGATGGCCTGCAAATCACCATGCTAGTTGCTGCCTCGCCCAGTTACCCACAAGGCTAGTACACCTTGTCAGTCACCGCTTGGTGTCAGCCGGACCACTTTGCACATTCCATCAATGAGGGCAAAAGAAAGGGCAGTGATGGGCAAGAGGTGGTGAAATATTAGGTGCCCAGAAACTTCTTTCCTCCCCTACGGAGGGGAGCAAGGAGCCGGACAAACTGGTACCTCACGATCTAGCACATAGGAACCCCTCAAAAGTGGTTGCTGAACTTAATTAATCCTAGGAGACAGGGTACTCTCACGGGCAAAAAAAATCTACACGCCCCTCTGCCATTTCTGTGATGCGTCCCCCGGGCCGCGTGGTGGCGCTGTGACTCCGCGGAGGCCCGGTGGTGCTTGGGTTCTCCGGGACGCGCGCGGGCTTCCGGGGCCCTCAGAGCTGCGGCGACCGGAGGGGCGGTGAGTGCGGCTTGTGGGCCTAGGGGCGGGTGGCCACCCCGGGCTGGCCGCGCGCCTTTGGGGCCTCTCGCTCGCGGCCTGGGGAGGGCCGGCGGCGCCCGCCGAGCAGGCCCGAGGGGCGCCGCGCGGGTTCTGCGGGCGTGAGTGCGGCGGGCCCGCCCCAGGGAGGGAGCGCGGCGTGGGGCTTCTGTGCAGCGGTGCGCGTCCCAGCAGGGCCAGGAGACTCCTCCCTGGGCACGTGCTTCCCCGCCTCGGAGCCTGGCTCCTCCTCACATGGAGGAGAGACCTTGGCCGCGGTGGCCTCCAAGACCTGTTCGGCACCGACGCTGCGGCGTTGTGGGTGGGCCCAGGGGTTGTGATCTGATCCCGGCGCGTCCGTCTGCCCCACAGGCCCTCCCACCTGTCACCCTGGCCCTTCTTTGTTGGGACGGCGTCTTCCTCTCCTCCGCCGAGAATGACTTTGTGCACCGCATCCAGGAGGAGCTGGACCGCTTCGTGCTGCAGAAGCAGCTGTCAAAGTAAGCTGGAGCGGGGTGGAGGGCCCGCGCTGCCTGTGCAGGGAGGGTGGGTTCGCCCAGAGCCACCCGTGTCGCCTTCCCAAGTAGCTGGTTCCTACCTGCCTCTGATCTCCGCCTGTGGGCTTAATAACCTCCTCACTAGTCTCTCCCAGCCACATTTTTCCTGTGTAATTCTGAGCATCGCCCAGAGATTGAAGGATCCCAGCACAGGAATGGAAAGCTCCTGTGATAACGTCTATGCCCAAATCCTCTGCAGGTGGCCAGGGACACAGAGGGGCAGAGGGAGCCTAGTGCCTGGCCTCCCGTAAACTGGGCAGGGACCTGGGGTGGGGGTCAGGCCTTCGATGGAGCTCCTGGAGCCCCCGCTCAGCACTCATTCCCATCCCTTCCCAGGGTACTTCTTTTCCCCCCGCTCTCCAGTCGCCTCCGGTACCTGATCCACAGGACAGCAGAGAATTTTGATCTTCTGAGCAGCTTCTCTGTTGGGGAGGGCTGGAGGAGAAGGACAGTCATCTGTCACTTGGATATCAGGTGTGTATCATAGTGCTGTGGAGGGCCCTCGGTAGTTCCTTGCGGGGAGGGGAGGAGGTGGACAGGAACCAGAGCCAGCAGGGCCCCAGGCTGCTGCCTCTGTCCCCACCTCAGCTGCTAAAGTCTGTGCTGCCCTTTGCTACAGCAGTGGAGTAAGTGTGTGTTGTTTGTGGAATTCATTCAGCAAACTCAGCTGTCCGCTTGGGCCGAAAGAGGGAAGAATAGAGCAGTTAAAGCAGTGAGCGTGTTTGCCTCGAGAGGCCACGGAATGTGGGAGGCACACTTGATCCTCACACATCCATTACCGTGTGTGTTTTGCAGGATCTTACCATAGTGACTACCATGTTTAAAGTTACATATTTTTCTAACAACAAAGTTCCTAAATGCGAGCACTTATTTCATTTAGCGTATAGCTGAAGATTTAGCTATCTCTAATTGCGTGTAACGCTAGAGCTGGTCACTTTGGGCTTCTTCTAAGTTGGCATTTGGCCTCCACTACATTGCCTTGCTATGGCGTTTTCAGGGGTCATTTGGCTTGGGTTTTGGCCTAATGCTGACCTGAGAGCCCCATGCCTGAATGGCAGGTAGCTGCAGTAAACCATTTTCCCCGGGGCCTAACCACGGCTCTGATCATCTGCTGCTCCAGGTTACCCAGTTCAGATGGACTGTCCGGCCCCTGCCACCCTCCTGCCTCCCAGCCTAGCAAGGCCCGAGGACCTCGGCCCACCTCAAACCAAGGAGCACCTGCTGGTCCTCGAGGGGCACGGGCTGGCCGGTGGCATCGTGGACGCAAACCAGATCAGGCTTTGTACGTGCCCCGAGTACTGCGCAGGCAAGAAGAATGGGCGCCACCCTCTACCCAAGGGCTCCAGGGAGATGCCCCAGCTGCTGGGCCCCTGGAAGAGCCTGGAAATGTCAGTGCTGGGGACCTCGACTCTGATCAGGACCTCCCTGCATTGACGACTCAGGCACCTGAGGACCTAGAGGGCCCAGACCAACGCTGTGACGATGAACAGCTACTGGACTTAGTTGGCATTGAGTCCCCACAGCCCGAGAGCCACTCCGTGACGGGAGACGGGTTGGAGATGTCCACACGGCTTGGGTCCAGTCTGAGGCTGGACTCAGAAGAGGGGAATGGGAGTGAGGTGAAGAGCCTGGCAGAGGAGGAAGAGGAAGAGCTGGAAGAGTTGGGGCCTGGCAGCTGCCCCGGGGATGATTACAGTGAGCTGCTGCAGGAGGTGATGAGGCTCTTAAGCCCGGAAAAGGGAGGGCGGAAGCGAGGTGGGTGTGGTCAAGGGTGGATGGGGACCGAGGGTCCTGGTGAGGAGGGGCGGGGGGTTGTGCTGGCTGAGCAGGGCTGGGTGCTGAGTTACAGGGCCCCCTTAGGAGACGTAGGAGAGGAGCATTGGGCCTTGCTGGGAGGAGTCGGGACTGACAGGTGGAAGGGATGAGGCTCGGGATATAGGGTCGGGCGTGCAACCGCGTAGGAGCTGTTTGACAGGCTCCTCTACCAGCAAGTCATTTTATTTTTCTAAATCTGTTTTCTCATCTGAGAAACAAATAATACGTGTTTTGCAAGGTAACAGATAGGATACATGTGGAATTGCTTCGTAAAGGACTGCAGACCTTGGTCATAAGAATGATTCTTCTGCCTGAAGCTTTGTCTTACAAATCTCGTTTCCTTGGAACTGCCCCTGGGACCAGCTACGGTGTTCAGTTGGGAGGGGAGGCATCTTTTATGACTACATTATAGATGAAGGGTAGAGACCAGAAAGACCACATTGTTAAAGGGAGGAAAGATCCTGAACTTGCCCAGTTCTGTTTCTTACTGACTGTGTATCTTCAGGTAGAATTACTTAACTCTTTGATTTATAGCATTTCCATCTATAAATAGGGTATTTTTGAGAGAGAGAGACAGAATGTGAGCGGGGGAGGGAATGAGAGAGAGGGGGACAGAATCTGAAACAGGCTCTGGGCTCTGAGTTATCAGCACAGAGCCCGATGCAGGGCTCGAACCCACGAACTGTGAGATTATGACCTAAGCCAAAGTCAGACACTTAACCAACTGAGCCACGCGGGCGCCCCTAGAATACGGTTTTCAGGAGTCTATGAAACTTATTGCATGTAGATGCCAGTTACCCAATGGAGACTCCATAAAAGTTCCCTTCCCTAGAACTCCCACCTCTCCACCCTCTAGCCCATTCTGCCGCCTTTCCCACACTTGCTGGGTATGGCTTGTGGGAGGCCACTTTAGGTGCTCACCTCCCTGCCAGCCCAGGAACCTGGAGGACTGTGTGTGGTTTTGACAGCAGGTGTTTGGAGCCCTGTGTGTCGGAGCTCCCCTTGCTAAAGGGTGCAATCTCTCCCAGATAACAGACAACCTGACTGAGAAGGAGATTCAGGTAGAGAAGATCCACGTGGACACGTCCTCCTTCATGGAGGAGCTGCCTGGAGAGAAGGATTTTGCCCACGTGGTGGAGATCTATGATTTTGAGCCGACACTCAAGACTGAGGACCTGCTGGCAGCACTTTCCGAGTTCCAGTGAGTGCTCCGGAAGCTTCAGGGAGGCAGGGGAGGTGGGTGCTGGCCTCTGGAGAGGAGCTAGGACATTGCTTTGTTGTTGGGGACACTTGCCTGCCCTGCCCCAGTGTCTAGCTCTGGAAAGAAAGGCAGAAGGTGGATGTGGTTGTTCGGGGCTTCATGCTCCTTGTGGCTTGTGACTGTACAGAAGAGAAGAGCTGACTTTTCGGTGATGGACATATTCCGTGGCCCTAGATCTGGTCCTGCCAGTACGTGGCAGCAGACCTCCGTCCTTCCCTGCCCCTCCGTGGCCCCCCCCCCCCCACGCCTGCTGGGAGCCAGGCCCTGGGATGCATGACACCGGCAGCCCACTGCCTCCACGTCCCAGCCTTACTCCATCAGTGGACCGTGGGCCATTTCTGTGCAGGAACTGTTTCTGGGTTGAGCTGGGCCTGAATGTGCTCAGGCAGAGTCAGGGAGGAGATGGGAACCAAGAGGATATATTGCAAGAAAAGACTTCGGTTTTCCCAAATTTCCTGGGTCTAACTCCAGTCCTTTTCTCTCGCTCTCGCTCTCTTTCTTCTAGTCTCCCTTCTTTTTTCCTGCTTAGATCTTTTTTTTTTTCTTTTTTTTAAAGATTTTATTTTCAAGTAATCTCTTCACCTAACACAGGGCTTGAACTCACAACCCTGATATCCAGAATCTCATGCTCCACGGACTAAGACAGCCAGGTGCCTTTCCGTTTGGCCTCCTTTTCTGACTGCTTCTGAAACTGCCCTTCCTTGCCTTCCTGAGCCTGCTCCTGCGCCTGTGCCTGAGGAAGGCTGAAGGGGCAGCTTGGTGGGGCAAAAGGGGCTTATATGCTCGTTCCCTAAAGGTGTGGCCAAACAGGGGCCACCCGTGACCTTCTCAGCCAGTGTGCGCAGTGTGCACAGGAAAACTGAGGGCTTGAACTGCTTTTGGCCTCTCATCAGCCGCACACTCAGTGTGGCTTTCCTGAGCAGTAGGATGGAAGGTGATTAGGGCCAGTAACACTGACAAGCTTATTTTAGGTCTTGTCCTCTGTCCCTAGGACATAAAGCCTTTTGTGTCCAGCCTTGGACCCCATGCCCTTGGCCTTGCTGCAGTGGCGCCTGTGTGGAGCCACCTTTACCCTTGGCACTCTGCTCTCTGAGTCCTGGCTTTCTGCATTCTAGGAATCTGGGACCTAGCTGATTAACACGGGTGGTATTTGTCTTTCTCAAGCCAACCTTCAGAGATAATTTGCTGCAAAGGGCTGTCTCCTTCCCAGGGGAGATTGGAACTTGTGTTGGGCTCGTAACGTCGGATGATTGGAGGCGGGAGGGGACTCCTTTCTCAGAAGGGGTTTTGCCCCTTGCTTTTGTACTCACTCTGTCTCCTCTTCCCCGGCACAGAGAGAAGGGGCTCAAGATTCAGTGGGTAGATGACACGCACGCGCTCGGTGTCTTTCCCTGCCTGGCCTCAGGTAATGTGGCTTCACGGTGGGCTTGGCTCTTGCTCTGACTGCCAGCGACTTGGGAAGGCTCACCTGTGTCAGGGTGCAGGCTAAGCCGAGCGAGTGGACTGCCAGGGCCACCCCCGGCCTGCCTAATCCGGAAGTTCAGAGGTGGCAGAGCAGGGTCCAGGCCAGGCAGCCCACACCCTCCCCTGTTCACAGTGGTCCCTCAGGCCAGGGGCTTCAGGTTCTGGTGACATTTACTGAGTACACGTCTCGGGCGCTGCCCGTGGGGCTTCCATGTATAGATCCTGTGAAAGTGCTCTTGTCATAGATGAAAAGCATTTATATACAGATAAGTTTATGTGGTTCAAACAGATGCATTTTTACTTGTTTTTCTTTGCAGCCTCAAGACATAGGTCAGATTACTTCTATTTTACAGATGGGGAGACTGAGGTTCCCAGAAAGTCAGTGGTCTGGGATGCGGATCTGGGGATATCAGCCAGCCTCCTGGTTGTAACTCCGGCCTCCCGCTCCCTCTCGGCCACTTTCCCAAGCTGTGTGCGAGGAGTATGTCTTGTCCTGGCCTCAGTTTTCTCCTGCATAAAAAGGTGGCTTGGACCCGAAGCCCCTACCAGCTCTGACACACTGAGTCTGACAAGCTCAAGTACTCGTGGCCCCGCAAAACTCAGGGCAATAAGGGCATGCACCCAGAAGGGTCGTGAGTGGGGGAAGGGTAGAGTTTATTTGAAGCTCCTGGGCTGTAGGGGGTGGGAGCTGCCTCCCCTGGTGTCAAGAGTTGTAGCCTCACTGGTTGGTGTGGCTCCTGACCCACCCAGAGTAGAGTGTGGATGCTGGCCCTGCACAGGTGCCCTGTGTAGGCAGGCCTGTGGGGTGCTGGGGGTGTGAGGTGGGCATATGGTGGTTGTCTCTTGCGCAGTCAGAGTGGTGTCAGGGCAGCCCTGTCCCCAAGCTTTAAATGGGCGCACAAAGCAGCTCCATCAGTTAGGGTGATACATGCATTCCTTGACTCTGAGGGGACCTCACCAGGAGGAAGAGCGATTGCTTCACATCTGTTTTCTTTCCATAGCCGCTGAAGCCCTGACCAAGGATTTCTCTGTGCTCAAGATCCGGCCCCTCACGCAGGGAACCAAGCAGTCAAAGCTGAAAGCCTTGCAAAGGCCAAGTAAGGAGGCCAGTTGTGGCGATCGCAAGGCTGTATGAGTGTGGGTTGGGCAAGGTGGGGCCTTGCTTCTGGTTCATTCCCTGGCCTTCAGCTCTCTGCCCTAGGACCCCTGGGCTACAGTGGCCAAAGGGGTGCTCCTTTCCTATTCCGGGGGTTAGGGGTGCCAAGGGAAGAAGGGCCCCTGTAGGGAGAGCTGACTGCCAGGTGCTCTGTGCTGGGCTTGCCCTCCTGTGCACACCTCTTCTGGGTGCTGTTCAGGGAAAAGCCTGGTGTTTCCTGTAGGGTCACGGGAACCATATTTTACAGTGGAGTTGAAAGAGCTTGGATTTGGGGGTCAGCCCTGGGCATGATACCGCTTCCGTCACCTGTTTAAGTTGACCTTGAGCAAGTCACCTAATGTCTGTGAGTTGATTCCTTTCTCTGTAAAATAAGCAGATTGTACAGGGTGGAGTGGAGGAGTGAATAAAAGAGCTTGGCAGACCTGCCTAGAGCTGTGGGGGGGCACATAGAAGATGCCAAGTAAATGACACCTCCTCTTTTTTCCTTCTCTCCTGCCAGAAAGCATGATGGGGGCTTTTAGAAGCTGGTTTTCTGTGGCTGCAAAGCAGTGGCTGGCAAAACTGGCTCAGAAGAGGTCTGCTAGGCTATCTAGTGCTCTTGTGGCCTATGTAGCCTTTGCCCCAGACTTGGGGACAGTAAATATCCTGTCAGTCCCAGAGCTCCAGCTGTCCTCCCTGACCTGACTTCCCTCTCAGATGGCCCTACAGTTCGGGGAGGCATATAAGATTAACCCATCCTCCTGCCCCTCACTTCCCCCAGGCAGAGAGACAGGGAAGGTGCAGAAGCAGCAGGATTAGGTGAGGACACCGTGAGCATCGCGGCCATGCTGTGGGCACAGCTGGGCCTTCGAGGTTGGCTCATAGTCTACAGTCACTGGGAGGAGTGGTGGCCATAGCCTTGAATTCAAGTCCCTGTCCCATGGGGCGTTCCTTCTAGAGCTCCTGCGTCTGGCAAAGATGAGACCACAGACAAATACAGCGGTGGCCAGGAGGCTGGTGGCCCGGGCCCTGGGGCTCCAACACAAGAAGAGAGAGCGGCCTGCCGTCGAGTCTTCTACCTCCCTGAGGCCCTGAGGGGCCCCGTAAGCCTGGACCGGTGCCCCGTAAGCCTGGACCAGTGCACCCAGGATGAAGCCGGTGCCCCAACGCCACGAGCCTTTACAGACACCAGAACAGCCCTGCACTGTGTGTTAGGGTGTCCCTGTTGGGTGTGGTGGGCTTTAGTTTGGTCTAGTTCCAGAAGTTGAGAAAAAATAAAAACTTGAAAGTTGTTTCCACATGCAGTGGTCTGCCAGGCAACACTAGGGGGTGCTGTCTCCCATTTTAGACAGGGCTGCTGAAGCAATGGGTCGCCTAGGTTGGCCTGGAGGATCCCAGCTGGGCCTCAGGCACTTTGGCCCAGTGCTTGCCCAGTGTGTGTTGGGGGGGGTGGTTTGCACCTGCTGTATGACACATGCCCAGTCTTGGGACAAGTTGGGCACTCTAACCTCCTGCAGGAAGAGTGGATGGTAGTGCTGAGGGCCCCAACCCTGTGAACTTGTCCTAGTGCCACCTGCTGCTGTGGGTTACAGAGGGCTTGCAGAATTCTCTAACCATGAGCAAAGCCGAGAGGTAAAATCTGAAATGGTTCATGAGTTTGACACTCCCACAGGACAAAGGCATTTGTGGGTCCCAGGTCTCCAGTCACTCATTTTTCTGGTTTGGGTGGATTTGTGCCAAGAAGGCCTCATCTGGTGCTCTGGGGTCATTGTGGATCCTTCTGGGCCACAGCACACTCTTGATACAGGTGGGAGCCCCCGTGTCTGGGGGAGAGTGGCCAGCCCCAGCCGCCCATCCTACTGGCGCTGGGAAGGGCTCAGCCGCTGCCCCACTGGTGTGCATGCTCCGCATCACCACCCCGTCCACTGGGCCTGGACCAGGCGCTGCCCTCGAGGGACATACTCCCCCTGCCCCCCCCCCCAAAGATGATTTAAATCTAAACGTCCCATCTGGTCCTGACACAGCTGCTGTGCCCCCTGAAAAACACTACAAAGCAGGAGTTCAAGAAAGGTCATGACTTCTATTTTTGTGGCCCTTCGACTGTTGCTCTCAGAAGGCAGGAGTTGGTCTTCTGTAGTGGGAGCACAAGGAGACCCCCCCCCCCCCCCCGCCCCCCCCCCCCCCCCGCGCTGCAGCCCCGTCCTCTGTCCGTCTCTGCGGCACCGAACCCAAACCATAAGTGCCTGTAAGTGTGGGCCGGCTCCCGCCCGCCTGCTATAGAGCAGCTCTGTGGCTCAGGGCTGGGTGCAGAGGCCCAAATGAAACACGGATGCGTACCATAAACCTTTTATTCAAAGTTTCAAGTATGTGTAAGTGTCTGTGATGACACATGGCGCTCAGTGGGTGTCCTCATCACCCAGGACCCTGGCTCTAGCACCGTTGAATCAGCCCACAGAATTGGAACAACAGAAGGAGGAGCCACTTACACAGGTGGGTGGGTTTTTCTTTGGAGCTATACTTTCAAGGGCCCAGATGCCCAATATTAAATGCCACTAAATTACCTTGTCTTTCAAAGTCTGTGAAATAATAATAATGGTATCTTGAAAAATAAGAGGATTTAAGGGGTAGGGGGAAGCACCAACTCTGAGCTCACCTAGTTAGGAAAACACATGGCACCATTATCTGTATATGTGAGAATAACAGACGCAGTCTGTTTAATTGGAAGAGAGGTCTAGATATTCAAGTTGGCTGGACGTGAGCTAAGAAGAGAAAAATGGACTTCAGCCTGACCACCTCGGGTTGACCGCTCACACCACCAACGTGGCCCCGTGTAATGTGAATTGAGTGGGGGTGGTCTCATACTTGGGGTGGACTGTGGTTTAGGTGGGACACTGCTGCTAACCGTGCTCCTGGGGTCCCAGACAAGATGGCTCTTGACGCCCACAGCCCTGTGGTCAAGCCGCACCCTGGAGGTCGTCCCCAGGCTCCAGAGGTCAGGCTGCAGCCCCCAGCAAATGACAGGCGCACCCCTTCCTCCTGGGCCTTGGGCAGGGCTGCTGGGGCATGCAGACGGGGCAGGGCTGGGCGAGGGGGGAGTGTGGCCATCCGTCGGACTGCAGCTGGTGGGGACGATGTGCTGTGGTCTAAAGACAGGAGGTGGCCTGGTGCTTTACCGCCTGGAGAGCTGGTTATTTATGAGGCCGCTGAAGTGTTCAAACTTTTTTTCTGTCTCTTCACTGAAGGAACCACCTGAGGGGTCGGCATCGGGGAGACAGAGTTTGGCAAACCAGATGCCCAGCCTTCTCCCACACGAGCTGGTGGCCTCGGGGGCCCGGGAGCCACCGCCCTTTACCGAAGGGCCTGCCTGGGCCACCTCTGTGTGACGCCACCAGGGCAGCAACTGGGTGCCGGTCATCCCCGGGGCCCGGCTCAGGTCAGGTGCTCTGGCAGAGTGAGACCAGGAGCAACTAGATGCAGCGGATTTCGTTTTTGCCATCACAAGAGTGGGGGCATCGCATCTCCTGCAGAGGAGGAAGCCCTGTACCCCTCTTGTCCCCCAGCGTGTTATAGCACAAGGGTACGTTTCTTCATTGGCGACTAGCTTCTAGTTCTCAACAGAGGAAAATGATACACAGAACCCACAAATTGCTGACGCCCACATTTTTGAGGTCACATGCATAATGAGATGGCCTGAGCTCCAGCCCGATTCTGTGCCTCCCTCCTTCCCCAGCCAGAACTGGCTGTGAAAGCCCAGCCTCCGTCCAGGCCTTGTGTGTCCACAGCTTCCTTCCTGTGTGTGGAGATGGGAGGCTGGCTCCATTCCCCGCGCGCTTTCCCCAAAGAAGGAAGCTGCTCTGATTCCTCGACAAAGGGCAGTTCTTGCCTGTCTCCTGGAGGGTGGGCTGCAGGGGGGCGGGGAAGGGGCTGGCAGGCCTGGGGGCGGCCCTGGCATGCTGTGCACCCCCACCAGTGCCCAGGGACCTTACCTATGTGGCAGTTGTACATCCAGATACGGTGGCCATCGTAGCGGGTCCTGCACTTCATGATGTTGTTGCTGTAGTCAGACTCTGCAACCTCGTAGTTGGGGTTAATGACAACCTGGGGGGGTGAGTCAGGCCAGAGGGGGCTGCTGAGTCCTGCCCTGGCCACCTTCTACCCCAGGCCCAGGTGATACTGAGACCAGCCCTGCCTGCAGAGTCGGAGAAACCTCATGAAAGGGAGCATGACAGGTGCTGTGCTCTAAGAGCAGCCCGGGGCAGGACTAGCCAGAGATGAGGGGTCAAGGCCCGGAGAAATGAGAATGTGCACCTCTGTCTGCCTCTGTGTGATTCACACACACACGCACCCTCCCACAAGTAGGCCTTCAAAAAGGGGTTACCCTCTCCTGGGTGCTCTGGGAGGTTTGAGGTTAGTAGAGGCAGGAGTTGGGGCCCAGGGAGGCCACAGAACAAGCTGTTGGTAGGAACTAGGAGGGAGCTGGGGAGCAGGACGTGCTGAGATAGGGTGGGGACAAGGACTGGGCTGTGTGCTCCTGGAGGTGGGACTTCCCACACGTCCCTGCCTCTGAGCCTTTGCCCGCAGACCCTTCTGCCTGGAAGGCACGTCCTCCCCCCACCCCGCTCTCTCCCGCTCTCTCCCGCCCTCGCCCTCGGCAGCATTACTGAGGTCTGCTCTCAGGGCCCTGTGGGAATGGAGAGGGCCAGTGAATCCCGGGCCAGGGCTACCACGCATTTAAAGTTCCATGTCTGTCCCAAGGGAAATCTTTTCTGTTAGTCAGAAGCACAAACATGCGCCCAATAAGTTGCTAACTATAGCCGGGGGTCAAGAACACAGATACAGAGGTGATGTGGCCTGGGTTTGCCTGGCTGTAAAATGGTGGTAGTAGTACAGCCCTTCCTTGGGGGACTACATTCATAGGGTGTAGGCACGGCCAGGCCTGCCATCAGTCTTTAACGAGCCCTGGTTGGCCACAGTGATACACATGCACCCAGCAAAGTGATAGCAAACCTCAAACACAAAACCCCACGCACAGTGTACGTGCACAGAGACATGGATATTCATTTTTTTAAAATAAAGAGCGCTCTGCTCTTTGGTTGGGCCTCTCCAAGTCTGCGGTTTTGGGTTTGTGGGTGGAAAAGTGCTTGGCTGTCTGATTTCCAGCCTCTGAAACTGCACAGGAAAACTTTCAAAGCGCCACTGTGGTCACTTCTATGCAGGTGTCGGTTCTTCCCAGGGCCGTCTACAGGGTGGGGACCATGGGCCAGGCTCCGGGCTGGCTGAGTGCCCCTTGGGAAAGTTTTCAAGGCAGAATGACACATTTCTGGTCACCCGCTTTGCCACCCAATGGGGCGAAGCTTGAGAGCAAGACGTGTGGCGGTGTGGGAACGTGACGAGACACCGGGGAGCGCTGCAGGGCGGAGTGCACCTGTGCTCCAGACAAGGCGATGCCGGGAATGTGGTGCCCCTGCTCCCAGGCCGGGGGCACGGCTGGAGCATGCCGCGGTGTCTGCAGGAAGGCAGCGGCACTGTCCCCTCTGCAGACCCTTTCGTGAGGTCAACTTTCCTGGGAGAAGCAAGCCACAGACTCTTGCGAGTCAGTGAGCTTGTTTTCAGCCTCGACAGCACACACAAGGGAGGGTGAGGGCACCGGGAGAGACGGGGTGGCAGGGAGTGTCTGCCAGAGGACACCCCGGGTGTGGGTTGCCTTGGAGTCTGTGGAACAAATTCTCAGCCTGAGGACCAAATCTGGCTACACGTGCATTTTGATTTGCAAGTGCCAGGTGTTAACTGAATGCGGATGTCTCAGGGGGTTGGCAGCTCCCCAGGGCCTTTGACTGCCTCACACACTTGGGTCACCTGATCCACTGTGATGTGCTAACCCCTGGGTGTGGGGCTCCTGGCCTTCCGCACCTGTTTTGTGTTTGGACACCAGCAAGAGGGGGGCTGCCTCCCCCATCGCCAGGGAAAAGGCTGCTCTTCCCATCAGCAGGGGCTGGAGCCCCTTCCTGCCCCCCTCACCTGGAACAGGTAGTCTCCAGGGGGTACGTCAGTGATGTCGACCCACTGGCAGTCGATGTCATGGCGATACATGTCCCAGCAGCCCATGGTGATGCCCTGCTCGCCGAAGTTGGCACACTCATAATTCTTCTGGATGTCTGCAGGCAGAGGCAGAGGGCAGCTGGCTCACCATGCACCCTGGCCCCGCTGCTCTCTGTGCTGCCCTCCCTCTGAAGAGCCCCAAGAAGGCCTACTGGATGGAGGATGTTCCCAGAGCCCATAGCCAGCAAATCTCTTCCTTCCCCCAAGCCCTCAAATCTCGGCTGCTTCTGGGCTTGACATCCCTTCCCCACGGTGGGGGTTTCTGATCCGTTCCCATTTCATCAGAATCCCTGGCTTGATGCCCACATCCCACCCAACCCTTTAGGCCCAGCCTGGCGCCCCCTCTTCCACGAAGCCTTCCCTGGCCACTCTGGCATTTCCACTAGGCTGAGAATGGAGTGAATGCTTATCTGGGATAGTGCTGGTGCTGATTCTTTAGCTTAATGTGGGGGTCATCTTGCCACCCTCTGGACAATCAGCCCTTGGATGCGGGCCCAAGTCTGGTTTGTGGATCTGACCCTTAGTGGGTCAGCTGGTTGCCAGGCACATAGTAGGTGCTCAAAAACCCATTTGTGTGATTTCACGGAATGGCATGCCCATGACACATTTTTATTGAGAGGCTACCATGTCTGGGTACTGCTCTGAGCACTGGGTATATGGAGGGGAATCAGTGTGCCTCCCTTGAGGCCCAGCCACGTGGAGACGGCAGGCGTGCCCACACGTGATTACAGTGCAGCCATAGTGGCCGTCTAGAGGTGTGGGCAGAGAGCTGCCTCTGTCTCAGGGAGTTGAGAGAGTCTAGGAACCTCAGAGCGGGTCTTCTGGGCTTGGACATGGAAAGCAGGAGCTTGTGGGGCAGGGGTACTTGGCGCTGGAACACAGGGAGAAAGGCTGTGGCAGCCGGACGGAGAGGGGACCACGAGCCAGGTTTGGGCCTTACCCAGGGGACCGTGCACACCCACCAGTGCCCATGAACATAACTCTGGGGGATCCTTCGTAGCCACGCCTTGCCCACATAGCTGCGGCTATGGAAGGCCCTGACTGGAGAAAGGTCATGGGGAGAGTGAGCAGTGGCCAGGCAGATGGAGCCCAGCGTCAGGCCTGGGTTCCAGGACAGGTGGGGGAGTTTGAGTCCCTCTGAAGCCACCCCCCCAACCAAGATACCTCCTTCGCATTCTGTGTCCTCCAAGCAGAAGCTGGCTTTGTGGCCCTCTGCCACCTTGGTACCGTTGAGGTTCAAGAGGTCATAGTGGGTGAACACCTCCATGCTGTGGTAGTGCCTGCAGTGAGAGAGAGGGCCTCTGAGTCAGTGTCTGGAGGGGCTGCTCCCCGCAAGCAGCGTGGCCCAAGTGGGGGTGGGGCCTGAGGAAGGGGATGGCAGAAGCCAAGGCTGCTGAGTGCTAACCATGGGGCTCCAGTGGCTGCCCTCCAGCCCAGGCCCAGCTCGCTCACCGGCTGAGCAAAAACAGTGTACAGAATGTAGGATGTCTTCGTGAGGATTTGAGACATAAACTGGTGAGCACCAGGCCTGGCATACAATCAGCTCAATAAATTAAGCTATCTAGGGGTGCCTGGGTGGCTTGGGAGGTTAGGTGTCTGGCTCTTGATTTCGGCTCAGGTCATGATCTCACAGTTCTGAGTTTGAGCCCCATATTGGGCTCTGTGCTGATAGCGTGGACCCTGCTTGGGATTCTCTCTCTCTCTCTCTCTCTCTCTCTCTCTCTCTGTCTCTGTCTCGCTCTCTCGCTCTCCTTCTCTCTGCCCCTCCCCTGCTTGTGCTCTCTCTCCCTCAATAAAGAAACTTTAAAAAGTAATTAATTATCTTCAACAAGTAGTTTTCATAGCCCTCCAGGGCACTAACATGGCTCTCCCAGCCCATGCTATTTGGAACACTTACCTCAGACTGATAAAAGTGATCTTTTGATGTCTTTTGAAAACTTTTTGAAGTGGGACTTTGGTGGGGAGGGGAAGAACAGAAAGGGGAGGACACCTGGAGGAAGGGGAAGAGGCAAGAAGAGCGGGGCATGGGGACCAGCCCCTCACACAGCCCAGTGTCAGGCAGCAGGTGGGACTAGGAGGCAGCGAGGCATCGCTCCCTCCCCCCCCACCCCACCCCCGCACCAGCTAGGGAGTGAGCCTCGGGACTCAGTGCTCCTGGCATGGGCCTCACAAAAAGGGGCAGAGAAGGCTCCCAGGCCCCTGGGAGGGAGCAGAGCATGGCAGGCGTGTCCCCGTGGGCCCCGGAAGAGAGGAAGGAGAGCTTGTGTGACCAGCTGCTCCAGCCGTGCGCACTGTTTACATAACCGTGTCCCATCTCTTGGCTCGGGTTGAATTGAGACCAGATGCGGATTCTTGGAAAGTGGTGCATTTGGTTCAGAATAAACAAGGGGAACATGGCTGCCGCTTGTTGGCGGGGGGCCTCCTTGAGGCCCATCCAAAGCCACGATGTGTGTGTCAGAGGCGTCTGCAACTACGTGAACACACTCGTCTGCCGTTGCAGGGACATTGGGGGGATGGGGAAACAGAAGTACAAGGCACTCAAGGCACGGGGAGCAGAATGCCTGGGTGTGTTTACTCATGACCTGAACCTCTTCCTCGGGAAAGTGGGAGTGATAACGGGACCCACTCTCAGGGGCGCCGGAAGGACTGGATCAGAGGAACTATAGAAAGACCTCACGCGGGGCTTGTAACAGAGCGGTACTCAGCACCTGTCAGCTCTCTCGTTGTTACTCCGGCCCGCAGTAGTACCAGGAGTAGTATTTTCATTACCACCTCCGTGACGACTATTCCTACTACCATCCCCAGGCTTCCTCGCCCCCCACCCCCCGGGGTCTCACAGGGCTGGCCTCGGAGTATGGCAGTCAGGACAGAGGCAAGAGGAATTAAAAGGATCGGTTTTCTGAGAGGAAACGAAAGGCTCTTTCCCCCTTCCTCCTGTGTTTGCTTGTGCTAAAAATAACGTCAGGAGTTCTAAGTTGGGCTTTTCTCAGATCACTCATGTTTCTGGGTAAAGCGATGCTGGGCCAGGGGCCCCCAAGAACATTCACAAGGACGTGTTTTGTGGCAAACTGAAGTGATGCCTTTGAACGAGTCTATTTTGGCTTCTTGAAGGAGCAGGATGAGACATGAGGTCTGACTCATTGCCTAAAACATGTCTGCATCTTTCAGAGAGGGGTTTATGTTACCATGTTTACCGGCTGGAAAGACTGAAGAGAAATAGGTTTATGTTCCGTTGTCTAAACAAAATTCAGACGGAGTCCACAGATGGACTGTTGTAAGGCTGACCTTCTCCCGCTCCTCCTGCTTCCTGCACGCTTGATTTAAGAGTCTTCCCTAGCTCTTCAGTTTTTCCCCTGTGAACACTAGGAGGGAGCAGCTGGTTTGGAGCCTCTTGATTCTAGCTAACTTCAGTCCTGGAGCTTCTGTGCTTTATCTCCGGGACAGGTGTGGACATGACGTTGGGGCCATGTTCCCCCTCCCCGGCAGCTCGCTGTGGAGGCCAGGGGCACCCCAGGAGATATAGATGGGGGCCACCAGGGAGACGGGAGGGCATGTACTAGTGATGAGGGCCTACTTCCTCTTTCCAGGCTGACACCAGTCAGGTGTCCTGACTTGTGCAAGTCTTAAGAGGACTCTTGATTCCTGGGGTAGACCTAGGGAAATTCCAACTTGGAAAGAAATTCCAGAACCTAAGAAGAGAGAGCATGACCTGCCACTTGGTGCAAGTCATTGTAATCTGGCTAGAAGGAAGGATGCTTCTACCATAAGACTCAGAGCTCGGTATCCTAAGATACGGTAGCAGGAGAGGAAGGAGATGATGAGTCCGCGGAAGACCCACAAAGCTGGTCCAGAGGAAGATGAGAGGTTGGGGTACATCCTTTGTCGTCCTAGGTTGTTGGGGACCCAGATAAAACTACATCAGAGAGTTGGTGCGCACTGTAGAGGAGCTGCTGTTAACCTTCATCCTGTCCCACACCAGCCACATGTCACAGAATGGACAGTCCTGGCTGGTGCTCAGCTGCAGCGGAGACAGTGCTCTGTTACCACTGCAGAGAAAACTGCGGGTGTGCTCCAGTCTCAGGAGGTGCTGTCATGAAAGGTGAGGGCCTTCCACTCACCTCACCCTGCTTTCCCCATGTGCGAGGAGGAGTCCTCTGGCCAGGACAAAGCCCTGTGGATGTGACGAGGGCCTAACGTGGGCTCACAGGGGACACATCCAACACAGAGCCTGCTCTGCACGTGGCGGAAGTCTCTGCTCCTTGCAGGGCTGTCTCTGACTCGCCAAGCTGGACACCCACCTCCCTGCCGGCCAGTTCCTGGCCCCTCTCCGGGGGCTTCCTAGGTGCAGGGGCCTCAGAGCAGTGCTGCTCCGTGACCACCTTCATCTGGACCCCATTGAACCTGTGACATGATGTGCCAGGTAAAGAGGTGTGGTCCCAGCTCCTGGGGCGGAAGTGGAAGCAGGGCACACCCTGCCAGGGCCATCCACCAAGGGCCTGATGCATAGGAGGGAGAACAGCCCAGGGCACTTTTTTTCTACGTCTGGTCGGCAAGGCAAGTGCTAAGAAGGTCAGTCTTCATGTTTCATTTTAAGGCTTTTGATGAACCCAGTTCTGTTCCCCATTGAACCATCAGTTCAATTGGGAGTGATAATTTTCCCTATTCGTGCTAATTTGAGCCAGGGTTCTCGGCTTTGGCTCCATGGTCCGTAAATCTGCTGAGATAGGGTATTAAATCTTCCAGAAAGAATTTGTTTTCAGTGGAGGAAGGGCCTGCTTTCATCAGACTCTCAAAGGGACCCAACAGGGGTTTGGGGCCAGAAGTCCTATTGAAAGGTCCTCCTCCAGAGCCTGGAGAAGCCCCCTGGCGCTCTGGAGGCCAGGGTGCAGGGGTGCCCTCTTATGCTCCCTGAGATCTTATGGTCATAGACTCTCAATTATGGACCAGGAAGGGGTGGCTTGAAGGGACGTATGCTTGGCCAGCATGTTTTTTCCACCCATCCCTCCCAAATCATTGACAGAACATCTGTAAGCAAAGAAATGAAATAAACTACAGGAAGAGCAGGGGGTGGGGTGGGGTAGAGATCGGAATGCCCAGGGCCCCAGATCAGAAGAAACAGTTCCATGGTGTTGCCATGTGTATTCTTAGAGGACAGACTATTGCTTGGAGAGCAAGCATATGTCCCACGGAGATCCCCACCATGTAATGTCTGGGTGGACCGCCATGTGTGGGACAGAGATGCAATTATGTTCCACTTATAATAAGCAGCGTCAGTCCCCGCAGGCCCAGGGCGCCCACCATGGCGCTGTTCTCTAAGGGAAATCAGGCACCAGTATGGTCGTGACTTTAATTTTACTCTTTGCCTTCCACCCTACAGAAGGCTGGCATGCTTCTCTACCAAGACCAACACTTCTCTGGCCAGTTAGGACATTCGAAACATAATTGATAATAATTATAAAGGAAAATCAACACCCTAAGTTCTACCGGAGTCTTTTCTTTTGCAACAGACTGAACGGCTCTGTCCCAAGACTGGTTTGAAGGTGACTGGACCGTCAGCTGTGACAGGAAAAAGCAGACAGGGCTAGCCTGCTGATGAAGATTCAGCAGAGGTCACAGAGAGAGCACATGCTCTGGGTCAGACAGCCGGGAGTGGAGGATCCCTGCCGGGCAACTTTTCATGTTATCCCGGGCAGGCCATGTAGACACGAACCTCCATTTCCTTACCCTTGAAAATGAGGGTTCCATGTGCCTGGCATTTAGAAGGGGGTCGATAAACGTCAGTTCTTGTGCCCCTCACAGTGGCTGCTACATTTCCAAGCTGGAAGGACGCCTAGCGGTCAGCCGGGCTGGGACTTCTCAGACTCTGACGTGAGGTGCGCACATCACCGGGGTGGGGGGTGGGGTGCTGACAAAATGCAGACTCTGGTGGGAAGGTGCGCAGCGGGCAGGCTCCGCCAGCCCTTGGGCCTCCCCGTGAGACGCAGAGACCAAGTACGACAGCTGTGTTGCCGAGAGGGGACTGGTGTATGGGAGGGGGCTTGCTGTGGACCCCTCAGGGGCACGGCTGCCCTGTTGCACAGCCCCTTCGTTTTCACAAGTGTGCTCACTTCTGTTCCCTCTACCTGCCCAACTCAGGCCTCAGCAGGAAAATGTGAATGAGCTGGAGCAGTGGGTTCTGGATTGGAGTAAGGATCAAGGAAATGTAAAAAAAAAAAAAAAAAAAGAAACAGCCAGGAGATGAATGGGGTGGCTTCTGTGGGCTCCAGCTAGGGCTGGCTCCAGGGTTTCACTCCGTTCTGGTGCAGGATTTATAGCACTGGGACTGAGTCCACAGACTGAGGGCTGGCAGGGACACTGGAGGTCCCCGGTGATGTAGCCCAGATGGCCTGACATCGTGCAGCTGGTTAGAGGCACAGCTGGGTTGAGAGACCAGGTCCCATGACTACTGGGCCTAGAACTCTTGTCTCCACATCCACTGTCTTCCTCGAGATGTTTAAAATACATTGATGAATGAACCCAGAGGCCAAAAATTGCAGAACCCCTAAGCACCCTGCGGATCGTGAACTTTCCGTAGATGCACTTGAAAACCACTGACCAAAGGGTCAATGGAGAGACATCGGGTCCTCAAAAAAAACGTTTGTTTCCTAACATTAGCGGCATTGGAGGCAAGAAAGAGACTGGGCTCAGGGAAGGGGAGGCAGGCCAGGGCAGTTGAGAGTGGAGAATGGCGGGATAAATGTCGAAGGCCATTGTGACGGCCCCTCCGATGCAGGAAGACCCTGCCTTCCGGATGTGTGGCATGTCAGCTCTCTCCGGGGCCCCCTGAGACTCTGAATCCCAGCCGGCCCTGCAGCGTGTGGGGCCAGGGCAGCTTGCTAACGATGAGCGGAGGGCTCACCTGTGGCAGTCGTGCCAGATCCACGCGTGGCGGCCATTCTTGGGCCGGAAGTCAGACTGCCCATTGTTGTGGATCTGGGAGGAGAAACGCAGGAGGCGGCGGTAGCCTGTGGTGGGGTCGGTCCGGGCAGCCGAGGCGGACAGGCAGTTCTCCTCCATGGCGCACTGGAGCATGAACATGGGACGGTCCTCCAGGTAGGTGCTCTGCTGGACAATCTCCGCATTGAGGACCAGGTCAGGGGCAGCTAGGGAGGGCAGACACGATGTTCAGGCAAGACCAGACACCCCCCCACCAGCACCATCTGGGACTGGCTCTTGGCCCCTCAAGGTCACTGTCCTTGAGAAACGTCACCCCAAATTCCTCCTCCCCTTCTCTGAGGGTCCTCTTGGACACATCTGCAGTTATCAGTGCAAAGTGGCGCACACCGGTGGGCAAAATGCTGGCAATTGTTCAGTCTGGGTGATGGTACATGAGGGTTCATTATATTGTTCTTTTTCCTTTGGGGTGGCTGGAGATTTTCCATCATAAACAACAAACAATAGCAATGATAGTGTGCCTCCCTGATTCTTGGTCTGATTCTCCCGGGAACGATACAGTCTACAACATGTGTAATATTGTATGTAGACTCACAGTCTGCTAATACTGTTTCCCTTAAAAATATACCTTGAGGTACTTCCTTGTTAATACATATCTATTAGAACATGCATTTCATGGCTACATATTTATTTTTAATTTTTTTAAAATTCATTTCTGAGAGAGCGAGAGATAGCATGTACAGGGGAGGGTCAGAGAGAGAGGGAGATACAGAATCTGAAACAGGCTCCAGGCTCTGAGCTGTCAGCACCGAGCCCGACGCAGGGCTTGAACCCACGAACCGTGAGATCATGACCTGAGCTGAAGTCAGATGCTTAACCGACTGAGCCACCCAGGTACTCCCATGGCCCATGTATTTAATTCATAGCCCTACCTCATATTTTTAGATGCATTGGTTGCTTAGCATTTTGCACAGTTAAAACATCCTGTAGTATATCTGTATTTAACTTTATTTCTTTAGAATGTATTTCTGTAATTGAAATTGCTGGGATGGAGGTCTGTAGGTTTTCAAGGCTCTGATGCATATTGCTAAATTACCTTCGTTTTCTTTTTAAATGTTTATTTACTTTTAAGAGAGAGAGCGCAGCGGGGGAGGGGCAGAGAGAGAGAGAGAGAGAGAGAGAGAGAGGGAGACACGGAATCTGAAGCAGGCTCCAGGCTCTGAGCTGTCAGTACAGAGCCCGATGTGGGGCTCAAACCCAGGGACTGCAAGATCATGACCTGAGCCCAAGTTGGAAGCTGAACTGACTGAGCCACCCAGGCGCCCCTGCCAAATTACCTTCTTAATGGATCCTTTCAGTTTCTACTCATACTGTTGCTCTACATGAGGGTTTCCCCCAGGTACTTCTTTTATGTTTTTTTAATTTATTACAAAATTTTTTTAATGTTTATTTTTCAGAGAGAGAGAGGCAGAGAGCAAACGCAAGCAGGGCAAGGGCAGAGAGACAGGGAGACACAGAATCTGAGGCAGGCTCTAGGCTCTGAACTGTCAGTGCAGAGCCCGATGCAGGGCTTGAACTCACGAACTGCAAGATCATGACCTGAGCCCAAGTTGGAAGCTTAAGTGACTGAGCCACCCAGGTGCCCCTAGGTACTTCTTTTAAAACAAAACTTGATTTTCTCAGCACACTGCACATAGCAGGTGTTAAAAAAAATTACCAATGGCAATAGTCTGTTTGCTAAATAAACAATTCTATTAGAAGGTTTAGCTTCTATACAAAAGAATTAACTTGTAAGTTTCCCTTTAAAAGTCAGATTCCATTGACTATTTCTAGTACATTTCAGTTCACAAAATTATTGTATATGATGTACAATCAGACCCATCCTTTCATTTCCTTCAAGTTGCTTGTAAATGTCTGAAGCGGTTGTGCACCTGTGAGCTTTGCTTCCCTCAAGTTCGCCAGAGCCCGGAGCATTCCCTTTGGCCTCCCGGCTGCATGTGGAACAGGGCAGCTCAGGACACAATTTCCGGCACGGGGCCGGCAACTTCTAGAGAGCAAATCCACCTGCAGGGCCTGGACGTGGAACTGAAGGGTACGAAGGGGGCGCACTGGTGGGATGTGGTTAAGGAGTGGAAGACGTAAATCAGAGGCCCTCATTTGCTGAAATAGTTCCTCTTGGAGGGCACGTGCCAGGATGCAGCACTGCTGGTACTGGGTGTTCTGGGCGCACTTTTATCGGAGGGTGTTACGAGTCTCTAATTCATTGTCTCTACCCTACCCGGTACTCAACCGACAGCCCCTTTGCTCACCTCTGAGCTGAGCAAATGGGTGTCCATTGCTGTCTCCTCTTTCTGGGAGGAGGCCTGCCCTAGCTCCAGCTCACACATGGTCTGCAGTTAGCTGGCAGCCGGGGAGCCGGGCTCTCAGCACCTGCCACAGAATGGGGCCTTGACCTCCCTAACATCCAAAACATCCACCAGAAGCTCATCTGAAGCATGAATTCATCTGCCCATCCACCAAGTGTTATAGTGCACGTTGCACTGGGCTCTCTGGACAGTGCTCAACAAGGCAGACCTTACACTGTGGCAGGAGAGACAGAAGCACATACTACTTACTTACAGTTGTGTCCAGAGCTAGAAGGAGAAATACGGGGTGTGCTGGGAATTATGAGAGGGGGAGCCAGTCTGGGGGAGGAGGTCAGGAAGAATTTCCTTGGAGGCAGTTATGTTTTTGTGGCTCCCTGGAGGATGAGCAGGGATTATAGGAAGTATCTCTACAATGTCAAGTAGCATGTGCCAGGCCCTGCGGCACGAAGGAGGGCCAAAGCCTGTGTGGTTGGGACACTAAGGAGCGGTGGGGGTGGAGGGTGACCCAAAATGAGGCTGGACAACACCTGCCTTGTGTAAGTCCCTGCGTTCACCTAAGCACTGTAGGAAAGCTTGGACAGGTTTGAACAGGACGGAGGCATGAGTGGGAGACGGAGACGGATTCCCGCTTCTGGGAGGGGGAGCAATTGGAGGGGCACGTGTCGCCGTGGGGATCCCGCTGAGGGGCCTCTGCAGGATGCAAAGAGGTCATCTGGACACCGGCTGAGACAGCCAGACGGAAGGAGGTAGAGGGAGTCAAGAACACAGGGAAAGGTAAAAATGAAATGGATTGTATATGGGGGTGGGTGGGGAGCAAGAAAGAGAGAGATCAAGGAAGACTTGCAGATACAGGTGTAACTGGTTGGATGGTTGCCTGCAGAATATACTCTGTCTCTGAATGCTCTCACATGCATTAAGCCAGATCAGCCAAGAGCGGTGTTCCTGGCCCAAATGGCTACTGCTCCCCTTCTGTAGGCACCCCGAGTGATACCTTTAGCCTAATTTGAGGGGTTCTCAGGGCCCCGTGATACTTTTCATCTGTCACGAGGATCAGTAGGACCGTTTATCTCATAACTTCATGAGAAATTCCCTTCCATCTTGGTAACTAGAACAGTGAGCTGCTTTTACCTCCTGGGTTTGTTTCTATTTCATGGATACTGGTATTAATGACCAGGTTTCCTTTGTTTGTTGGCTGTTAGGAAGCTCATGGTGAATTTTATGACCTCCCAAGAGTAAATGTATAGGACTCCACACTACAAATTTTTATTAACCTCTAGCTTGGTTCCATTTTGAGCCACTACTTTTTGCCAACCCCTACTTGTTGGTTTTGTAAGTGTTTTATTTGTATTTCTTTTCAGAGAGAGGGGTTGGTGGGAAGAGCAGAGAGAGAGGGAGAGGCAGAATCTCAAGCAGGCTCTGTGCTGTCACCATGAAGCCTGACATGGGCCTTGATCTCACTACTCCGAGATCATGAAATCAAAAGTCGGCAGTCAGATAAGCATCTGACTTTGGCTCAGGTCGTGATCTTGCGGTTTTTGAGTTCGAGCTCCGTGTCGGGCTCTGCACTGACAGCACGGGGTCTGCTTAGGATTCTCTCCTTCTCTCTCCCTGCCCTTCCCCTACTTACGCTCTCTCTATCAAAAATAAATAAATAAACATTAAAAAAAAAAAAAAGAGTCACTTAATGGACTGAGCCACCCGGGTACTCCTTTTGTATCTGCTTTTCTCTTATGCTACATTTTACTGAGGTTCATATGAATTTCCTTTTGGAAATGATGGTATATTACAAAATAAAATAAATTAAGAAGCCAAGCAAAGACCTCTGACTGCTTCTTTCTGCCAGAATGTTCTAATGTTCTTCTGGGCGGGGGGCGGGGGGGGGGCGGTGGCGGTGCTGGCAAGGATGATGGTCTCCTCAGATCCTCAGATGGGACATGATAACAATGTGCCGTCTGCCCAGAGAAGCTCACACCAGGGTGGACAGCCCCCCACCTTACAAGGCTTGGGTGACTGAGTCTAACGGGGTCGATGGGCGGATGCAGCTCACTGAGCCCAGGTGTATTCTTCCCCTGGGTCTGCGTGATGGTAAGAGGTACACATCACTGTTTAATGTGCATGTGTATGTATTCATCGTCCCATTTAATTTCCAGTGTCTCAGAAAAGACATCAGCTGTCGATCATAGTGGTTAACTAACTTGCCAAGGTCAGCTAATAAATGGTGAGTGGGGGTCTGGTCTCCAGTTCTCTGGCCAGATCGTAGGCCTCTGCCACCTCCCAGATTCACGAGGGAGAAGGCTAAGCGTGGTTTTATAAGGTCAGGGGTGGGGAGAGCAGAGTCTGGGCATCAGGAGAGCAGTGTGCTCACAAGGCTGCATGGCTCGTCCCCTCTCTCTCTCTCAGCACAGAAGGGAGCCTTCATGAGCTGAGCCATTTTGAGTGAGTTTCTCCTTCTGTGTTTTTAGGATCTCTGGGATTCCCAGGGAATCGCCCGGAAGCTAAGTTTCCTCCAAGGTGTGAAAACAGGAAATGCTCTTTGGAGCAAGGTGAGAGGAAGGAAGCCAACACACGTGGAGCACCTTGTATGTACTTAGTCTGCTTTACTGACCTCAGAGATCCTCCGAGGAAGGTGCGGTCTTCCTCATAAACTGGTCAGAACAAGGAGTTCTCAGTCACTTCGTCTACACTGGCCCTGCCATTTGAACCCAAGGCTCCCAGACTCCCAAGTCTGTCCCTCTTGCTTGTCCTTGCACTGTCAGCAGGCAAATTGTGGGGTTGCCGGTTGGGGGTAGCTCCCCCCACCCAACTCTTTTCTCCTAAAATGAGTCTCTGCTTTCCTCTTTGGCACCGCTCAGAGCGGAGGCCCCAGAACCTCTCAAGGAATAATCAGGGAGGCTCTCTGGAGCCTGGCGGCGAAGGTGGGACAGGACTCCCAGGGACACTCACTTTCTGAGCAGGCGACTCCAGCCCCATATTGCACTGCGCCCTGGGGGCAGGTCACATCCTCGTCGTGACGGCAGTGCGCCAGGGACAGCTCCGTTCCCGAACACTTCACTCCGCTCATGACCACTTTGTTGGCGAAGATGTCCCCGTGCCAATACCAGGTCTCCTGGATGAAGCAAAAGAAATGGGAAGTGGGTCACCTTGAACTGTCACTCTCTCATATTCTGTCAACTTTTGGCCTCACAAAAATCCCCAGGCTAAAGCTAAATGAGTCCCATTTTTTTCAGATGGAGACAGCTGAGGCACAAACAGCCATTTACCTGGGGCACGCGCTTTGCTGGTGGCAGAGTGAGGGAGACACTCGCCCTCTGGTTCTGCCACTGCTCCCTGCGGGGAAGGCAGAGCTAAGACTTTGGTCAAACAGCTGCTGAATGCTGTGCATCAGAAATGGCAGGCACCTGCAACTCATGCTGCTTGCTTTCCCGCCCTGCGCCCAGGGCAGACATGACTAATCAAACACAGCACTCTCTTCTCTAAACCCAGTGTGCTCTCAGGATCCTCAACACAGGGCTCCAGGGAGACACTGACATAAAAAGCAGGACAAGCAGCCTCCTAGAGAATGCCGTTTTTCCACTCCCTTTGGAGCCTGAGAGAGCGCCTTGGCTGGTCAAAGCAGTATAAGCAGAGACACTCTGGGAAGCCAGGACCCCAGAGGGTGTGGGCAGTGCTGTTGGAGGCCTGACCCTTCTGAAGGCTGGAGGAGGAGCCACAGGGCAGCCTCTGCGAGGGACTCCACTCCTGCCCTGGACCCATCCAGCCTGCAGCAGGCAATCAGGCTCAGCAAGGCTGCGGACTTGTCCTGAGTCTCTCCCTAAGAAATCCCGTCCTGGGGAATGACAGCACAGGAGCTGGAGTCAGGCTTAGCCAAGCGAGGTGTGGGCTCTAGCCATTTTCCTCTTCTGTGAGAAGGTATTGGAGCCGGGATACTGAGTACCTGAGACCATTCCATGTCACAGGGAGACACACTGAGGCATGGAAGGCTGGCTGCTTTGTCCTAGACCATTATGCAGCAGGCTGGAAGGCGGGTACAGTTGGAAATAGACCTTGAGCCTCCTATCTCTGGCTCTTCCCCGCCTCCCCCTGCCCCAGCCTCTTCCTGACAATGTTCCCTCACAGTATAGGGAACAGAAGTCAATGGTTTTTGAAGCCAAAGGGCTTCTTGCCTTTCCTCTGCTGCCTTCCAACAGCGGCAGGGAGCTTAGCTGCCTTCATCTGAGTCCCTCTCTTTAAGGAAGGGGCTGGGGGATGGAGGGCACAGATGTGGGACAAGGCTTGGAGATTTACCAGCCAATCCCAGGGAGAATGCAGGAGTACAGACACCAGCTAGGAAATGTGGTCTGGCCAGAGGGGCCTCCAGGGGAGTGAGCTAAGGCTTCTGGGGTGCTGGGCCTTGGGCTGGACGGTTTCTGCTGCCCCAGAGAGCCGAGTTGCTCCCTCTGAACAGGCGCATCAGGAGATCCCGGAATCAGCTCACAGTCCAGGGTGGTTCCCGGCACTCAGAGCTGAGTCCACCCCCTTACTCTGTAGTGGGGAAACAGGCCAGAAGGGAGGATGACCCACCCAAGGACTCAGGGCTGTGAGGGGCAGAGCTAGGGCAGAGATGAGGTTCCGACCCACCTCCCCTTCCCTCCAGGGCCCAGTGCACTTTGCTCTCCACCTTCCGGATAGCTGGAGAAGGTTCATGGAAAATAGGGGCTGACTGTGGGGGCAACGTCAGACTGGATAGAGGGGTCTGAGGCTGGGGCTTCTCACCTGGAAGGCGTTGCTGGCAAAGCCCAGGCCCAGCTGCCGGCAGACCACCATGGCCTCCACAATGCCCCAGTTCTCACCACACACCGTCCCCCATACGAGGGACCCATTCCTCTCCACCAGCACCTCCACTCGGCCCTCGTAAGGGTTCCGGCCCCCGTTCAGGCGCAGCTGTGGGCAGAGAGAAAGGCATGGTCAGCAGGTAGAGACAGGGGGCAGCTATGATGGCAGCCCCACCACACTGCCATCAGTCTCAATTTCCCCAAGCCAGGGGGTCCTGCCTGGGACACAGCTGGATTCAACAGCATCACTGACAGCCTACTGTGTGCCCCTATCGTGCCCAGCATGGTCTGACATATTCGGTGCCCATCCACAGGCATCCTGGAGCCTTAGAACCCTGTGTAGCTGGAGGGAAGGCACTGACCCCCACCTCCCCAAGTGGCACTGGTGTCTACCCCCTGCTGCTCTCCCTGAGACTACCTGCAGGGGCTGCCCTTAGAATCAGACCCTGGGGGGGGGGATGCATCCAGGGGCCTAAGACTCCTTCCTGGGCCCTTTTGTCATCACCATACCCTCTGCTCAGCTGGTTCGAGCCCCCGATCCCATCTGCCCCCGCCCCCACTGTCCTCTCCACCAGAACTCCGTTCTGAGACCCTGTAGCCAGCTGCCTATTTGACGGTTCTGCTTGGCACCTTGGAAAGGCCCGAATCAGAACCTGGCATCTTTTCTGTCCCCAGCTAAGCCTGTGCTCTAACTCTCCCTCACTCCCTATTTCAGCAAAAGGCACTGCCAGCCACTCCAGGGGAATCAAGCTTTCAATAAAGGGCCAGGTGGTAGCTTAGGCTCTGGGGGCCTTATGCTCCATGTCATAACCGCTCAGCTCGGCCGCGTCGCTTAAGAGCAGCCATGGCAGATGTGTAAATGGCCAGGCATGGCCGTGTTCCGGGAAAACTATAATTACAAAACCAGGCAGGGGGATAGGCTTGGCCCGCGAACTCTAGTTTGCTGATCTCGAATCTACTCTGTTTTACAAGCCAGATATCTTGGAGCCGTTCTCTACCCCATCCTCGACCCCATCCTCTCTCTTCCCCCACATCCTGTCAAAATCTTCCTCCATGGATTTAATCTCCAAAGTCTCTTTCCAATCCATCGCTTCCCTCCGGCTCCGTGCAGACCCTCTTGTCCTGGGCGCCATCACCTCCTGCCTGAGCCAGACCTCCGCCCCCCTGCCTCCCCTACTCTGGACTCCATCGCCCTATTGTCTAGTCAGAAGCCAGAGTCGTCTTTGAAAACCGCCCAACTGTGTCACTTCCCTGCTCAGAACACGTCAGCGGCTTCACTTTCCTCCACTGCTCACTCTTGCCTCCTGTTCTCTCACCTCCAGGCACGTGGGCCTTATCTCTGTTTCTGTGGCTACCTAACTTTCCTGAGCAATTAATACAGTAAGTCACACGTCTCACACTGAAGCCCACCGCATACAGATGCCCTTCTGCCTGGCTGATCCTTGTCTGTCTTTCCGATTCCATACCCAACGACACTTCTCTATCACCAGGGTCACCTGAACCCCACAGGGTCAGGGCCCACGTACACATTCCATTGCTCCCCACCTGTTTCCTTCTTAGCTTTATGACAGTTATAAATAAGCTACCTTACAGTTTGTTTAACGCCTGTCTCCTCTGCCAGAATATAAGCTCCCAAGGGCAGAGTTGCACTTGTGTGGTTTGCTGTGTGATCAATAAGTAAGCAAGCACCTCACAAATGTTAGGTTCTCCAACACCACTTTTGGAATGAATGAATAAGTGACCAGTCTTATGGACTGAAGGCATGGACCAACTTACATGAGGTCAGGCAGAGAGATCTGGAGGTTGGGGAATGTTTCTAAAAATGTAACATCTGAACCAAACACCTTACCCTCCTCCTTCCCTTTATATGTCTAGTAATTCATTCCTTTGGGACAAGGCAGGACACCTCCAGGGACCCTCAGCAGACTGGGCTGTTGGCTCACCAGTTCTTAGCAGCCATAACTCCTAGGGCAGGAATCTCAATTCATACTATGGGCTTAGGGGTTGCAAAAGTCAGTGAGGTCAGCTGGCAAACAGACAAGTCAAGGGCAGCCATGATGCTAGGCCTATGTCCCAGGCTTGTTGAGTGGAAGAATTAAATGAGACAATTCAGGGGCACCTGGGTGGCTCAGTCAGTTAAGTGTCTGATCCTGATTTTGGCTCAGGTCATGATCTCACAGCTCATGGGTTTGAGCCCCACGTTGGGCTCTCTACGGATGGCACGGAGCCTGCTTGGGATTCTCTCCCTGCTCACACATGCTTACTCACGCTCTCTCTCAGAATAAATGAATAAAAAAAATAAATGAGTTCATGTAAAGTGCTCAGACAGAGTCTGGCACAAAGTAGGTGCTCAAGAAATATTAGCCATCATTATAGCAATGATCTTTATTAGGGTAGGAGTCCCATCAGACATCAAACCTCGTTTCAGAAGAAATAGAAGGGGTCAGAGCATGCAAGAAGGGGGCTGGCCTTCTGGAGGCCAATGTTTGTATTCCTGAGTGTCTGAGGCTGAGGACCCCAGGTGAAGGTGGGCACCAGGCACTGTCTTAGATATGGGTTGTATATCTTTGGGTCTATGTAAAAACACAAACAAATAAGATGAGCAGAGCCATTTATAAAATCCCAGAATGGCAGGAGGCAGGCCACTCACCTCCAACATCCCAAGGAAGGGCCAGTGCTTTGGGCAGGGTGGGTGTAAAAACCCATCAGGGACACCTCTGCGTAACCCCAGGCCAGCCCTTCTGCCTACCTGAGACCTAACAAAGGCCTTTACTTTCACCATATACTCCCTTTACATGCTTACAGAACTCTGCCCATAATGCCAGCCCCTCCCCAGAGATGAAATCAGTTGTGCGGATTTCACCAGATCCATTCACCCAGCTGATGTTCGTTGAGCATCTGCTCTGAGACAGGCACGGTGCTCGGGCCGGGACGTTTAGAGACAGACTTCGGAGCACGTATGGCGTCTGTGGGCCCGTGCAAGTCCCTTGTGGACATGAGTTCCTTCTGCTCTCACACTATCCTGCTAGGTCATCCCCATTCTACAGACAGGAAAGCAGAGTCTCAGATAAGGGAAGCGCCTCATAACTTCCATACCAGACTACCTCCAAACCATCGATGCTAAGCTTCCTGCTCCAGGCAGGGCTGCTTTGGATTCAGAGCGGGGACCACTGACCCAGACCCGAGGACTGCGTTGGGCCTTCACAGTCCGGCGGGGGAGGGAGCACGCTGGCTGCGAGGTCTGGGCCCTGGGGCCTGGACTTTAGTGTTCTGAGGCATTTCCCGTCCACTGAGGTCAGACTGACCCCTGAAGCTTCGAGACTCACAAAGGAACCTTATTTTGGGTCTCCTGAAACCCGTCTCGGGTTGCCTCTCTGGGCTCCCTGCTTTGACAAGGAGCAGTCTGTCAGCCTCTCACCCACATCCCCTCTCCCTCCTCTGCTGGTCCCAAGTCTCCTGGCCGTGGCCGTTTGGACACTGTGTGTGGACAGACAGACAGACACCGGGGACTGTGACAGAGCAGGCCTTGCATCTAGGCCTCGGGCCGAGCGCTCCCACAACTTGGGCTCTGATCTCAGGAGCCAGAGGTAAGCTTCCCTTCTCTTTGGGACATCCAGATCCCTCCCCTCCCCACCGTGTGGTGCCCAGCTCCCACCACCAAGCCCGGGGTGGGGGTGGGGGGACAGTGGGGAGGGAGGCCCATAGGGGGTGCACGCGTCCCGTGGGCCAGCTTAGCACTGAAGCTCAGATAGCAGCGGGCAGTCAAGCTAAAGAGCAGAATGACTTTCAGGCAGGTTTAGAACTGGTTGTGGATTCCCTGTGGACCGTGCCCTGCCTTACTGGGGACAGATGGAGCCTCCAGCTGCCCCCTTCACAGGCCACTGCCTCCTGAAGACTGACATCATTTTGTCATCTCGAGATCAGTGAAGGGTGAGGATGGAGGAGCTGGATGAACCCCTGTTCACACTTCGTCCTGCTCCCAGAGAGCACTGGGACTCCCAAGTGCAAGGCCTCTGTGTCCATGGCTCTCTTGAGGAGGTTCTAGAAGACTTTCTCCCTTGTCCATCTCTGCCTGTGCAGCCCTCCCAAAGGTGGCTGGCCATGTGGCAGCATCCCTGTCCTGCATTCTCGAGCCAAGGGAATCTCAGGGCCTCTGGCTGAGGCACGTAGCTGCAGGTTGACTCGTGGGGTCACCAGGGGTGAGTGGGGGCCTCTCCTTGAAGCCCTTCTCCATGTTGCTGCTGTGCATAGGCTTGGAGCAGCCTCTGTGACAGGGACCATGTTTCCATGACGCGAGAAGGAATCTGAGTGCTTCAAGATGCACTCGGAGGCCTTTTCTCATTTTCCAGAGAAGACCAGTGGGAGCAAGAGGCGAGCCATGAGGCTCTGACCTGGCCCGGGACATTGCTCTCCATTCCCAGGGCCCCACTCCTAGGCACCAGCATTCTGGAAACAGCCTGGCCCGCTAACTCGAGGTGCTCTGACATCACCAGCGCCGGTGGCACCCCAAGAGGCGTCGGAGAAGCCAGTGGCCTCTGGCCCTCACTCTTCCACCTCGTCAGCCAGTGAGGATACCAGGGAAGGTCAATCCTGCTCTACATGTCTGAAAATAACCCAGGCACTTCCCTGGGCTCCCGAGGGCAGCAGTCTGGGGTTTGAAAGAAGAGAGTGAGCTGCAGGCAGCCACGTGTCCCTGAGTATGAAGAGGGAAAGCAAAACACTTCCAGCCCGCGGAGGAGGGCAAGGCTGCATCATGTTTTGATAAGGTTGTGGTTAACCAGTGCCATACCTGTTTGCAGAGGTGAGGGAGTAGGAGGCGAGGTAACCCGGACCAGATGTTAGCAGGAAAGGAGGTGCGGGCACCTTCCAACTCACATTCTGTACGTGGGCTTGGTCCTGCCACCAGGCATGGCCAGCCCCATGGTGCAGAGATGAACTGGAGGTCAGCAAGGGGGGGTCCCCTGGTGTGCTCACCTGCTGCTCCCCCAGCCTCCTCAGCTTGGCTCCTCCCCCCCCCCCCCCCCGCCCCGCCAGCCCCCAGCAGGGAGGGGAATGAGGCTTTGCTGTGGCTGGATGCCCAAAGCCACTGGGTTCCAAGTCTGTGGCCTTTTATTAGACATTCAATAGACAAGTCAATTTCCTCATGCACAGGGTTGGAAGGGAAGCTAGGGAAATCCTCTTTCTCACCTCCCTATTTTCCAAAGAGTAAACTCAAGCCTCAAAGAAATTAAATAAGGAATCAGCCAGGGAGTGAGTGTTGTGAACTGTGTCCTCCCACCCCGTAAAATCCATGTGCTGAAGCCCTAGCCCCTAATATGGCTGTGTCTGGAGAAAGCGTGTTTCAAGCGCTAATGAAGGTTACATGAGGTCATCAGGGTGGGCCCTCGTCCCATATGACTGGTGTCCTTATAAGAAGAGGAAGAGGCACCAGGGATGCAGACACAGAGGTCACGCGAGGCCACAGTGAGACGGCAGCCATCTGCAAGCCAAGGAGAGAGGCCTCAGAGGCAACCAACTGTGCCAGCACTTTGATCTTAGACTTCTAGCTCCTAGAACTGGGAGAACATAAATTTTTACTGTCTAAACCACCCGGTCTGTGGTATTTTGTTATGGCAGCCGTGGCAAACTAACAGCGATAAAACACGGGAATCCTGATTGCTCCGTTCGGCGCTGTGGCCGGCAGCCCTGGGAGCCCCAGGCCACACCGTGTGGAAGGCTGGCCCGCTGCCATGCTGGGACAACCAGCACAGCCTGTACGACTTTCTTTCACAGGTGACCGCCCCCATTTCCTTTCTGGGGGATGGCAACCAGGTATAAAACTCCCCCACGCCGCATGCTTGAGCTCCAGGAGCCCCTCGTGCAGCCTGGAGGGCAAGGGTAAGGCTGTTTGTGCCTGGAACGTGGTGCGTCCGTTGGCATCAGCGAGCACACAGCCTGGCTCAGCCGTACCTACCATAGAACGCATCTAGAAAACACTTTCTCTGGCCCAGGTCTTTCATTTGTATTGGAAACCCTGCTCCAGCCAACTCTGATCAGCCTAAAGTGAAGGGTGCCACAGCATAGTGGGACACGTGGCGTGTCACCTTTTGTAGCTCTGTTACCTATCTCGGGATGCCACCAGACAATCAGCGATGGTGAGCCTTCTCCGCAGCTGTGGGCTTGTGGCCTGTGCTCCTGTTCGCCCACAGGCAAATGCATAGCTTGGCTCAGCGCTGTCGGGTTCACGTTCTTGGCCCACTGGGCCGCGAATTGCACAACACATGTTGTGGCTGACCAATTTAGTAGTATCCTTGGCAAGCTGGTGCCAAGGTCAAGAATCACCAGCAAAGCAAGAACCTGACTGGGGAATCATCCGGCACCCTGATATATCTGCATTTGCTCATTTTTACTTATTTTTATTTTTTTGTAATGTTTACTTACTTACTTTGAGAGAGAACGCGTGTGCGTGCGCATGAGAGAGAGAGCAGGGGAGGGGCAGAGAGAGAGAGAGAGAGAGAGAGAGAGAGAGAATCCTAAGCAGGCTATGCGATGCCAGCACAGAGCCCAACACAGGGCTTGAACCCATGAACCATAAGATCATGACCTGAGCCAAGATCAAGAATCAGAGGCTTATCCGACTGAGCCACCCAGGCGCCCCCACATTTGTTCATTTTCAAAATAAGTGCTTAAGGAGCACTTGGGTAGCTCTGTTGGTTGAACATCTGAGTCCTGATTTGGGCTCAGGTTATGATCCCAGGGTCATGGGATTGAGTCCCACATCAAGCTCCACCCTGAGCATGGGGTCTGCTTAGGAGTCTCTCTCAAAAGTAAAAAAAAAAAATAAAAAAAGTTTCTCTCTCTCTCTCTCTCTCTCTCTCTCCTTCTTCCCCCTCCCCTGCTCAGGCTTGTGCGCTTGCTCTCTCTCTCTCTCTCTCTCTCTCTCTGAAAAAATAAATAAATAAATAAAAGAAGCACTAAATAAATCCTTCCAACATGCCAGCCCTATAGCAGATCATGCACAGGACCCAGACAAGTTCATGGCATACTGAAGAGCAGTAAGCAGGATGTACTGGGCCCCCCCTTTTTTTTTTTTTTTTTTTTTTTTTTTTTTAATGTTTTATTTATTTCTGAGAGAGAGAGGCAGTGTGAGCAGGGGAGGGTCAGAGAGAGAGGGAGACACAGAATCCAAAGCAGGCTCCAGGCTCTGAACTAGCTGTCAGCACAGAGCCTGATGCAGGGCTCAAACCCATGAACTGTGAGATCATGACCTGAGCTGAAGTCAGACTCTCAACTGACTAAGCCACCCAGGCGCCCCTGTACTGGGCCTTTCTGTAGGACTGGATAGACTGGGAGGAATTCATCTTGCTGGCAACCCCTGTGGGAAAGATCACCCATGCTAGCCACACGATGTAGGTTTTTAGAGACTCCATCTCAGGAAAGGAAGGGTGTGTCTCTGGTGTAATGCTGTTAAGTTTCCCCTTATTTCCCTCTGGTTGCCAAAGTACAGTCTTCTGTCCCAAAATATTGTCTATATTGTGCTTATGTTTGTGTAATTTGTAGACCTGCTGTCGACGTAGTTCCTCTGGGTCTTTGGCTAGGGACCATGCCAAGGGTGTCCCAGGTGCTTCAGACCTTGAGTGCCAAGGGTGTCCCAGGTGTTTACAGAAGGGACTGCCCTGAGATCACACCACACGTCCAGTCCCAGAATAGAGTGAGGCACACAGTGTATGCCCGACATCGGCCACTAAGGACAGGGGTGTTTATATATACGTTTTCTCACTTTGGCCATTTAATGAATGCTAGGTGACAATGTCCTTAATGGTGACAGCAGTGGAGCCTGAGCCCTTTCTGAGTTCATCATCAGAGCACTCTAACATCACCTGTTAGAAGTCTTCAGTGTGAGGCCACCTGGCTTATACCCTCTGGGGCTTGGTCACCAAAACAGAACATAATCCCCTCACCTTTTTCTGGAGGCCCATGGCAGGGATGTTACATCTCACACCAGCATCTTCCTCGTGGCTGCAGCCCTGAGACTCAGCATTGAACTTGCAGTCTATAATGGACTTCTCATTCCCAGTGCACTCGATCTCATTGAGGTGGATGGGTCCTATCCCTGGGGGAGGAAATAAACATGCGCTATTGACACCTTGTGGAGGAAAGTTTCTGGAGTGGGCAAGAACATCTTAGACAGTAAGAACATGTTTCTCCATCCTTAAAACTTCCAACTGCTTCCCAGAATGAGCTCAAAGATCCAGGCCTCCTCTTCCTGGAAAGAACTGCTTCTTTCTACGATTCACTTCTCCCATAAAAGCAAATCAAATGTGCTCATTAACTTCCTATGTGACCTTGGCCAACCCACTCAGCCTCTCTGAATAGGTTTTCTTCCTTAAATAGAGGAACTGGACGAGAAGACATCTAAGTTCCCTCTTCAACTTTAATACTCTATGCATTTATGAATTTCTAGGAACCTTTATAGGGGATGACTATCCCTATAGATTCAGAGTCTCCGCAGGAAAGTGATGGCACCCTCAAAGTGGATGCTTTGAACAGAGCTGGAAAAAAGGATTTTGAAAACAAAGGTATGGACAAAGTGTGGGGAAATCACAAAATCACAACAGACAGTCCAATACTCAGGCTAATGATGGTGGGCCACAGACACGGTCCCTAGGCCAGTGGGAGTGAAAGGAAGATGGCGGTATTGACCCAAGAGAGCAAAGAAGCTGTGTGGAGAGGCCACCTGCTACCCTTGGTTGAGGAGGGACACAGCAGCCCACCGGGAGCCTCAGGGAGACTCTGTCCTCTCTCCTCTCCCCATCCCGTCTCCTGCCAGTGCTCCCTGGGCACTGGCCATGTGGATGTACCCACGGCAGGGAAGGGCACCCAGCAAATGACCTATGGTGACCATGCAGGGAAGCTTCTCTCACAGACACCCAGATAACCAAAGGGAGGCCCCCTCTGCTGGGGAGAAAGGAGAGAGAGAATTTGTAATCTGACCAGTCTAAGCTCAACTCAGCTCACAGGGCTACCTCCCCTCTGTCTAGCCCATCAACTTGGATCAAAGTCCAGTTCTTTTTTTTTTTTTAAGCATATCTATTTATTTTTATTTATTTAAGTTTTTTAATGTTTATTTATTTTTGAGAGAGAGAGAGAGTCAGAGTGTGAGTGGGGAAGAGGCAGAGACAGAGGGAGTCACAGAATCCAAAGCAGGCTCCAGGCTCTGAGCTGTCAGCACAGAGCCCGATGTGGGGCTCGAACTCATGGACTGCGAGATCATGACCTGAGCTGAAGTCAGATACTTAACTGACTGAGCCACCCAGGTGCCCCTAAGCATATTTATTTATTTTGAGAGAGAGAGAGAACTAGAGAGAGAGAGAGAGAGAGGGAGAGAGAGAGAGAGTGAGTACACAGGAGGGGCAGAGAGAGAAGGAGAGAGAATCCCAAGCACAGACAGCCGACAGCACAGAGCCTGACTCGGGGCTTGAACTCATGAACCGTGAGATCATGACCTGAGCCAAGATCGAGTCAGATTCTTAACTGACTGAGCCGAGGTGCTCCTCTAAGTCTAGTTCTTTCTAGGAGCTCTGGGCTGCAAGGACTCCCACACTGGTCCCTGCCGGCCTGTGATCACCTCTCTCTCCTGCCCTCACTCACCATCCTCCTCTAGATGGGGTCCTCCCCCTCCGCACTCACTCACTCAAACTTCCCATCTTCTAACTCTCCCTTGATCCCGCCCTCTGGCCTGTCAGTTTCATCTGCATCAGGGTGAACTTCTTGGAAGAGTCACCTGTTTTGCCTCCTTTACCTTCTCCCGTCTGTTTCTCTGCCAGCCCTCTCCATCTCAGGAAGTGGTATCCATCTGGCCTGGTGTTCTCGCCAGACCCCAGAGGTCATCTCTGGCACACACACCCCCTGTGGCTGCCAAGGAAGCCATCACCACATTCCGTTCACTCCCCTAAACCCGGGTGCTTTTCATGTCTGCCAGCATAACATTCGTCCCACTCTGCCATCATCCATTTGGACAAATACAACAGCCTCCAGGCTCCCTCTTGCTTGCTCAGTGCAAAATATTCACCACAAGACAGCCCAAGAGGGCTATTAATGCATACTGAATCATGTCACACCCCATCATACGTCCCCAGAATGGCTTCTCACTGCATCGAAGGGTAAAATCCACAGTCCCCGAGTGGCTTGTTTGGCCCCGCACAGTTTGGCGGCTCACCTGGTGCTCTGGCTCCGCTGCTCCTCCCACCTCTGCCACACCACCACCTCCTTTGGCTGCTTGATTGAGCAGAGCTCGTCCCCTACCTGGTCCCTCTGCTCGGCCCCTCCCCTCCCTCCTCACCAGCTAACTCTTGCTCATCCTTCAGGGCTCTGCTTTGACAACTTCCTTAGAGAAGCCTCTCTGATCCCTGTCTAAGCTGGACCCCCCTCCCATCGAGCACGCAGGTGGCTCTCTGTTCCCTGTCAGCTTCCCCATCAGGTCAGAGGGCCCCCAAGGGCAGGCGCCATGCCTGTGTCCCATTTCCATTGAGGAGGTTTCTGGAGACACTCCGTGTCTACGCTCACCGAGGCCAAAATGAACTTCCAGGAGCAAGCCATGTTGGTGAGTGAGAGCCCGCTTTCCCTTTCCTTGGAAATTCATAAACAATAAAGCTTCTGATTCCTTGGACTTTTATACAATTGATAAAAACACATTGGTGACTATGGCTGAGGCATCCAAGGACTCGGAGTGGAGAGGTTGGGATGAACTACAGATGCCAAACTGGGCCCCTGAAGCAGGGAGGGGCCATGGTGCAGGGAGTGAGACTGACACGGAAAGACGCAGCAACCTCGGACCTGAGTATCAGTTAGATGCGGGGCCTTCAGGAGGATGACGGCGACGATGGCGGTGGTGAGGATAAGGATGGTGACACCTAACATTCACTGAGCGCTTACTAGGTGCTGGGTTCTGTCCTACACGTGTTGCATATAGTAACTCAATCCTCACAACAACTCAGTAAAATGAGGAAACTGGGGACCTGAGGGAGGAGCCAGTATTCAAACCAGCAGCCTGTTCTCACAGCTCGACCTCAGTCAGTCTCTGAAGCAGAGAGAACCCCACGTGTTGGACGGGAGCAGAGGGCTGCTCGGGGAAAGAGCTGAGCGGTTAGAAGCATCCATGTCCCTCATGTGGGAGTGCTCCCTCTGCCTCCTCCAACCCCTGCTCGTCTTGCTGACCTAGGTAGAGGCCTGCCTCCAAGGAACACCTCACATCCTTCCTCCTCCTGGGCTCAGCTGGACACGACCTCACCCTCACCATTTTCTTTCACACCTCTCGCTGGTGAGGAGACGAGGTGATGGGCCAGAGGTCGGCCTGCGTCTCCTCCAGAAATAATGAGAGCTTTCTGAGTCCTGCGACCCTCATCTGTCAAAGGCAATAATAATCTCTCTCTGGTGGGGTGGGGATTATGAGGAATGAATGAGACAAAGTATGGCAAGTTACCGGGGGCTCAGGAAATGGTAAATGTTCTCAGTGTTACTTCTCACAGCTCATCACCTCTCTGTTAGTGCAGGTTTACCTTTGAGTGAGGTTATTTCTTATTTCCTCCGCTTGACAGGAGCTCCTCGGGGAGCAGAAGCCATTACCACAAATGTTTGTGGAATTAACGAATTGTCCATTCCAGGGCCCAGCCCGAACAATGCACACTTATGAATCACTGACCTACAGGACGGGCCAGGAGAGGAAAGGTTTATGCAAGAGTCTACTATGTGTTAGTCTCCCACTAATAACTGTTTGTCTCCTTAGATACACCCTCGCCGGGGTTTACAGCTAAGCATGCCCAGTGGTGCCTGTGGGCTCTTGGCTACTTTTGTGGACTTCGGCTTGACCTGCATCCTGATTCCCAGCAGTCCTGGTTCTGGACTGGCCCTTGAATGGCTCTTCCTCACGATGGCTTCCCCACATCCACCTTAGCCCTGTTCTTCCCTGATGTACAAACCCTGGCCCAGGTGACCACAGGCCGGGGGCAGAGGTAGGCTACTCAGGAGAAGCCCAACTTCTTGGAGGGATGCCATGGACTACAGACCCACAGTCAACTCTGCCGGCTACAATCCCACTTTCAAGAGCGCAGTAGAATACAACAGGACGTAGCATAGTGTGTTGCATGTTATAGAGGTTAAGCATCGTTTCTGGAAACTTTTGTTTCACCTTTATGTGCATGGCCTGTTCTGGCACATGGATTTCGGCTCGGGGATTTCAGGCAAAAGGGTTTTAAAGCCACTGGTCTTGAACTGCCCTGACCAATACAGCCACTGGCCGCACTGAGCACTCGGAATGTGGCCAGTCCAGACTGGGGTGTGCTCCAAGGATAAAACACACCCTAGAGTTCAAAGACTTGATAGACAAAATGTACACTATCTCATTAACAGTATTCATTCTGATTACATGTCAAAATCATAATACTGGGGATATATTAGATTAAGGAAACTATATTATTAATTTCACCTGTTTCTTTTTATTCGTTTTTGCAAGGCTATTAGAAAATTCAAAATTACTTATGTGGATCACATTGTATTTCTATTGGACAACTAAGGTCTAGAGTGTTGAAAGTTCTTTACCAGGTGTTTATTCAGCTGATCCTACTTATGCAACTGGAACTCACTCGCTCATTCATTCATTCATTCATTCATTCATTTATCTTCATAAAATGAATATCCCACGGCACTATAAACTGTCAAGATTCAGTACGAAGAACACAGGCCCTCCCCTCCTGCAGCACTTGGCCATGAGGGGAGGGGGATGTGGAAACAGACAGCTGGGGTCCAAATGTATGCAGACAGCTGGGGTCACAGAACACAAAGCACAGGGCCTGAATCTGACCTAACGTCCATCCTGGTGAGAAGAGCAGGTCTCAGAGAATCACCACAGGCAGGAGCCAGATAGACCCTCAAATGTGAATCCGGTGAAGAATCTGAGGCCCTGGAGTTTGCTCAAGGTCATGGAGAAAGTTGGCAGCAGGGCCAGGATGAGGACTGAGATCGCCTGCTCCCAGTCCTGGCCTTTCACACCCTCACTCTGGGTGTGGTCACTTGGCCCACCAGCCACAGCAGAATGGAACTGAGCCTGTCTGCTCTGTGACTTGACACTGAATGTGGACTTTTCCCTTCTGCCTAGCAGAGTTCACCTGCCCAGAGTGGCAGAAGATAATGAATCATCCTGTGGTTTTTTCCAGGACAGCACTGAAAATGCCAACTGTCTCTTTCTCCAGAGTTCTGCAGGTCCTTGGAAGCCATTGGTTGCTCTAGGCAGTAAAATAACTAGGTCAAACAGCACACGCCCATGATAGATGGAATGCTTATGTCATCCAGAGCTTATTTATTCCTCAGAGCGAGTGGTCTTTGTATAGGAGGCCTTGGGGAAACACACACCAACAAACACATCGGCCATCACTAAAACGGACTGTGGGACTATCTGAGATCCAAGGGAACTCCTAGGAGGACTGTCATGTGGTATAACTGAGGCTTCCAGATGGCACGATGCAAAGTTAGAGTCCAGCCTAGATCCCTAACCTTCAGTGCATGCCCAGGAAGCTTGAGGGGATTACAGAATGGGGGTAGAGAGGTGCTCTGAAGGCGATCAGGACCGGGCCAAGGTGGGCATCCAGGGAGAAGCCCAAATCTGAAAGCTAAAGACTTGGGTTTTAGATTTTCTCTGCCACTCACTATGGGGGTGACCGCAAGCTTGCCCTCCCGTGCCTTGAGGCCTCATCTGCTGGACCAGATGTACCAAGGTCCTCTCCAGCAGCGCCAGGACTCTCTCTCTCCAGTCCACTGGGCTATTACTTCATCCAGGCTGTGACCAATGACCTCACCACATTCCTTTCTGTGGGGCGACGGCCTTACGTCCGGCATTATAGAAACATCCTCTCCCCACAGGACGGGCCACCCCTCCTTCCTTGTCAGAAAGGGGAGCTATCTGTCATGTTCTCATGTCATGTTTGCATCAGTGCTCTCTCAACAGAATGACCAGCTTGAAAGCTTCTTATATTTTTGTTCTTTGCTTAAATGGAAGATCTGTTCAGGACACTTAATGAAAACCAGGCCCCTTTCTCATTAGCGTCGCGTGTCATCCAGAGAGGGCCATCCTGTTCCTGGTCTCTGGTGGTGGGGAGAGAATGTTTGTGGTGCTGCACCATGGTGGGAAAGGAAAAAGACATTTGGGACTCTTTTGTGTCCGGGTTGGTCCATAGCCTGAGGAATTCTGTGTTCCTGTCCTGGAGGAAGGGCCTGAGAATTCCAGCGTTCTCAGTGGGACGGTGGGGAGCACCGGGTTAGGGCCTGGGAGACCTCCATTGTTAGAGTATTCATTGGTTGCTAATATGTTGTCTCATCTTGGTTATTCACTCCCTTCTCTGGGTCTCAGCTTCCAAACTCCTAAAATGCGGACTTGGTGTTCCCTAAGGCCCTTCCAGCTCTGACTGCTGGGGGAGAGGACTGGGATTTTCTAACAGAGTGGCAGCCGCAGGCGGGAGGCACAGCAAGAAGACCCTGAAAGGCCCAAGGCCAGTGCACCTGGGCTGGGCTCCCCATGCCATGCTCTTTGTGAAGAGAGGCCACAGAGCACCCCCCTGCCCCAATCCCTTACCTTGCCCCAGCTGAGAGCCAGTGATGGCCTCTTTGGCACTCCCAAAGCCCAGCTCTCTGCAGACCACGCTGGCTGACACCAGGTCCCACTTGTCGTCACAGACGGTACCCCATTCTCCATTCTTGAGCACCTCCACTCGGCCCTCTCCGATGTTGGCACCGCCTCTCAGCCGCACCAGGGGTTGCTGAAGAGACACACGGTCCTGCTGAGTGCAAAAGCTGATGCACATTTGGCAGTCACTGCCCACTTCCCTCCCTTCCCAGCCACCCCACTTCCAACAAAGGTCCCCCATCTGGGAGCTGAAACTGGGCTAGATTTGTGTGTGTGCTTGGGTCTAGGCGGGGGCAGGGGGCGTGCACATGCCCCCTCTGCACGTTGGCTCTGCTGCAAGCTTGCTTTGCAGCCCTCCCCTGGAGCTTTTGTCCTGGACTACTGAGGGGCCTATTGGGACACTCAGCAGTCACCCCAACCCATGTTTGGCTCAAGGGCCTTACCACCAGTACCTCCCTGTACCCCCTCACTCCAGAACCTCAAGCTTCAGAGCTGCGGAGAGGAGCTCCTGCCCCCAGACTTGGCAGATTCTAGATGGATCGCAATTCCACCTTGCTTCTAATAGAGCACTATGGTCTAGCCCTGTGGGGGACCTCAGGGTACTGAACAGGTTACACTCCAATGATCCTGCTCCACGGGTAGATGAGAAGCAGGTAGGAGGAGACAGGGAGCTACAGCATAGGCCTAACCAATGACTTAGAGGATGGACATTGCAGGGGAGTGAGGAGCCTTGTGTTGGTAAGGCTGCCGTGTGTCCAGGGGCTAAGCTGGTGCCCATATGGCCACTGCTCCTACTTCTGCTCTCCCTCGATTCTACTCCAAGTCCAAATCAGCCCATCTCTTCAGAAGATGCAGCCCCTCCAGGTACATAGAGACAGTGGGTGGTTGTAGTTTAAATGCCCCTAAGTGTTCGCGGACAGCTTGGAAGCCCAATCCCTTACAGGGCTTATTTAATTGCACAAGAATAAGACCCACTCTTTGCCAGCGTTTTTATCTCACTGGATCACGGTTTACAGGATGGGAGCTGGGGCCCTTGACTACCATCGGCCCACACACGCTGGTTCGCATCAACTTCTGTGCACGTGTGTGTACGTGTGTGCGTGTGCCTGCATGCCTGTGTGTGCATGCCTGAGCATCCGTGTGCTGGCGTGGGGGCTCAGAAGGCTTTGAGGCCCTGAGTTATGGCTGATGCTCATTTGATTCAACACAGAGGGTGTGGGGTGCCTGTGCGGCCGTTCTATGTATGGGGGTCAGACCAGAGTCATTGCTCTGCTCCAGCCTATGTGGTCCTCAGACCACAACTTTTACCCAAGGTGGCCTGGCTGGAGGTGGTGCTTGTCAGCATTCACGTACACCAGCCACCTTGGGGGCCAAGGCATCAGACGGGATGCCTCCATCCTCCAACTGAGGTTGCCACTTGGCCACATTGCTCTCCTCCACTGACCACAGCTCGTGGCTGCCACGGCAGGCAGGACAGCATGCAGTGACAGCGCTCAGATTTACAGGATATAAGGACGGCTCTGACCCTGCCACTAGGGGAGAAGAAAAGAGGGACAGGGGTGCGTACAAAACACCCATCGGCTTCAGGGACCTTTATTCCAGCTTTAGAAAACACACTCCAAACAACTGGTGGCTGAAGCCCAGTCACGGTTGAGCCGTGGCCTCTCCCCTCCCCACCCCCATGCCCAAGCTGTCCAACACAGGAAGCTGTGATTTCCACATTCTGGAAACAGCTCAGAGGGGCTTGTGGGTGGGAATGGCACATGGGAAGAGGAGAGGGAGGGGTAGGAAACATGGCTGATCATTTATTAGGGAGCACACCATCCAAGACCCAAGCTTAATGGAGGCGGAGTGCCACATAATCCCGTGCCAGGCTGGCAGTGGCCACGCAGAGTCAGAGGGCCCCGGAGGAAGGCAAGCAACCAAAGGAAAATGTGATGTAAGGCTCATTTGTTTTTTTTTTTTTTTAATTCATTTGGTATGAGTTTGATTCCTTTGCTTTAAACCACACAGTGAGAGAAATTCCAAACAGTAGGGTCTGGAATTCTGGATGACACACAAGGAGAGCTCAGCAGGCCAGGCTGAGGCTGAAGGAAGGATGTGGCCATCAAATCATGTGGCAGGGTCGGTGGGGGGGGCAAGTGGGGGTGTGTGGGGACTGCAGGAGGGCTGGCACCATCCACGTGAGCCTGTGTCTCCTGGCTGCACACATGTGCCCTGCAGCAGATCTGTGCACTTTGGTCCTCCGTGTGGGGACCGATGTGGCACGGACAGCCGCCTGCTGGAAGAGGTCCTCCAAAGAGTTCCCATGCCCTTGGCTAGGCTCACACCATTCATTTTGGTCCTTTCATTGAAGGCTTTTTCTTTTGTCCAGACACACCACCCCCAGCCTGGGAGGGGGCACCCAACATGGCTTACCTCACTCCTGCCCGGGATTCCCTTTACCCTTGGATGAATGCTATCACCCCCTTTCCAAGACAGGTCTTTAGATGTTGATGGATAGGGGAGACTGCAGAGGGCAGAGGGGAAGGGCAGGAGAGACAGGGAGAGGGAAGGAGACACAGCAGGAGGCTGCCTGGGCCGAGGCAGGAGCCGCTCCTCCCGCTCCACTGCCTGGACTCGGCTGACATGCCGTCTGCCCCCATCAGGGCCTTTCTCCCTCCTCTGACGTGGTCAGAGGTGTCTTGGAACTCACCTCTGCCCAGGGGAGTATCAAGGTTTTATCTGGCTCAGGGAATCATTCCCTAATAAATGATCAGCCAGGGTTCCAACCCCTCCCTCTCCTCCCACGTGCTATTCCCAACCACCAGCCCCATGTGAGCAGTTTCCAGAATATGCACATCACAGAGACCCTTGGACATAGGAAAAAGGAAGGGTAGGAAAAAGAAAAACAAATCTCCTCTTAATGAATTTCAGGGAAGATAGAATAATGCACTTTCTCTTTTTCAGACACTGCGTCAAACCTGCCATGGTTGGGTCGGTTCGCTTGTCCTACAAAATCAGACAGCGGAAATGGGGGGTCGTTTATGAGAGCAGATGTGTATCAACACGTCTCGAGCGTGCTCACATGCACATGCACGTGCTCACACACTCGTGCACACAGAGGTGCTGCTGACTTAGAAACATAGAACATGACCGGAGGGTACAGACAGGTGACACAGATGTGGGAATGACAGGTTTTCATTTTCGGTCTTGGTGAAAGCTTTTTAAAATTTTTGACCTTTCTGAAACAGTGTGGAGGATGTTCCTCAGGAAACTAACAATAGAACTCCCCTATGACCCAGCAACAGCACTGCTAGGAATTTACCCAAGGGATACAGAAATGCTGATGCATAGGAGCACACGTACGCCAATGTTCATAGCAGCACTCTCCACAATAGCTAAAACATGGAAAGAGCCTAAGTGTCCATCAACTGATGAATGGATCAAGAAGATGTGGTTTATCTATACCATGGAATACTACATGGCAATGAGAAAGAATGAAATCTGGCCATGTGTAGCAACATGGATGGACCTTGAGGGTGTTACGCTGAACGAAATAAGTCAGGCAGAGAAGGACAGATACCATATATTCTCACTCATACGTGGATCTTGAGAAACTTAACAGAAGACCATGGGGGAGGGGAAGGGGAAAAATAAAAGTTACAAACAGAAGGAGGGAGGCAAACTACAAGAGGCTCTTGGATACAGAGAACAAACTGAGGGCTGATGGGGGTCGGGGGAGAGGGGAAAGTGGGTGATGGGCACTGAGGAAGGCACTTGTTGGGATGAGCACTGGGTGCTGTATGGAAACCAATGTGACAATAAATTATATTAAGAAAAGAAAATTAAAAAAATAAAATTTTTGTCCTTTCTGTTGTAGAATAAACCTAAATATGCTTAGAAACATTTGTGGCTGATTCATGTGCTTTTGAGAACTATACTAACTTTCCAACAACTCTAGAACACTGTTCTCTTCTGGGAATTGAGCAGGACCCCCACCCCAGCGTTTTGTGCCAGGCCAGCCGACTGCACACAGAGCCTGTGACCGTGGGTAATGAGGTGCTCTCTCCTCCTCGGTATATGGCCTCCACAGAGGGGACTGTGGTCTCAGAGTGGAGTAGCAATGGTGAAAGGCCAAATGCGGCTGCTGATGACTGGGGGCTGGGGCCCAGCTGCTTGTCACTATCTAGAGGTGGCATCTGTTGGTGCGGCTGGCCTGACAGGTGTCCCACTACATTCCTGCCCTGTCGGGGAGTGGTCTGAGTTAGGACCACTCTCCTTCTCTCCTGGGGGTCCCTGCCTGCTCCCTTAAATGCCACCCTCTCCCCACCCCCCATGGGAGAGTGGAGACCAGAGCTCTTCCCGCGGGCGCACGCGTTCTCACCTCTGGTTTGTAGGCTTTCCGGAATCTTGAGGGCCCGTCGGGGCTGAAGACCTGGCCAGGCACACAGCTCACCACAGCTGGCAGCCCATTCTCACAGGTGACATTCTTCACAGGGTCCAGCAACACCTGCGTGCCCAGCTTGCAGCTGGAGATGTGCGCCTCGGTGCCCGTACAGTCCATGGAGAATGGCCAGTAGCGCTGCTTCTTCCGGGCCGCAAACATTCTGCAGAGGGCGAGAGGGGGCAGGTGACCAGGACATCTCAGCAGCCTCCCTTCCTTTCTTCCACAACTGGGTGTCGGGCGCCAGGCGGGCCACTGCGCTGGCTTCTTGGAGGCTGGTGGTGGCATGAAATGTACATGGTCCCCGCATCTAGAGCTCAGCTCTGCTGAGTCGGCAAGCACCCACTGAGCACCTCAGTCACGCGGGCGCTGGGGAGCAGGCCCTGGAAGGGCAGACATGGCCCCGTTCCCCCAGGCAGTTTATATTCTAGGAGAGAAGGGACTTAGCAGTCCGATAGCACTAAAGCCTATAAACAGGAAATGCAAAAGGGACCCAAAAGAGATAAGACCCCTGGTCCCAGGGAACCCTCAGTTCCAGGCAAACCAGCTGGTCGTTCGCCCAAACCCTTCAGAAAATTTCAGCATGATTGGTTGTTGCTCTTTGCCTGTGTCAATGAGCAGAACAAGTTGAATGTTAAACTCTTCTTCCAACGATATGCAAGATTAAAGGTGTGAACCCAAATCCAATGAGAAGCAACAAGAACAGTCTTAAAGCACCCGATGGGCTGAATCAAAGTATAATTTGCTTGGGAATTATAATGGTCATGAAACTAGGCCACAGACCTCATCAAATCTTCACCCAGGAGTCAGTGAGGGTGACGTGGTCTCTATAGCAGAGCCTAGGAAGGCTCTTAGCCTGTATTACATGTAAAGCATTCCTTTTTATGTATTTTTGGAAGGCAGAATAAGGATCAAGGTGAGTCAAAGTGTTTTCTAAAACAATAACCAACCAATAAGTAATCAACAGGTTAACAGAAAGGGTACTGTGCCTCACTTTCCTCACCTCCAGATCAGAAGTAGCAATGGGATTTACTTTATTTGATTGTCTGGAAAGCTAAATGAGTGAATACTTGTGAAGCAATTAAAACAGCACACAGGAAGGGCTTCGTATGTGCTTGTAAAATAAATAACAATTATATTAGTCAAAGGAGAAACAGAAAGGAGGACTCCACACACAATTTCAGCAAGGAGAAGGGTTTCGGCGAGGCTTTGGATAATGGTGGGATTTACAGAGGAGGAGGGCAGGGAGGAACGTCCTCTCACGCCGGCCCAGCTCTCTGGGGTCTGCGCGCTTGTCCCTGCTTTGCAGAACCTGTGAGATGCCAGAGAGAGCCAGACGGCGTCGCTGCCGGCTGATTCACCTCCTAGGGCAGGCTGGTCCAGAAAGGGGCAGAAATGGGGTCCTGTTTCCGCTGGTTTAGCAGGCCTGAAGTTTTGGTCTCTGAGTGAACAGGATGTGAACATAGAGAAAGGTAAAACCCTACAGACACCACCAATACCTTCTTGTTTAAAAAACATTTTTAAGGGGCGCCTGGGTGGCTTAGTCGGTTAAGCGTCCGACTTTCACTTAGGTCATGATCTCGCGGTCCGTGGGTTCGAGCCCCGCATCGGGCTCTGTGCTGACTGCCAGCTCAGAGCCTAGAGCCTGTTTCAGTCTGTGACTCCCTCTCTCTCTGACCCTCCCCTGCTCACGCTGTCTCTCTCTCTCCTAAAAATAAATAAAAATATTAAAAAAATAAAAAATAAAAAACATTTTTAAAAATGTTTACTTATTTTTGAGAGAGAGAGAGAAGATGAGCTGGGAAGGGGCAGAGAAAGGGGGAGACACAGAATCTGAAGCAGGCTCCAGGCTCTGAGGTAGCTGTCAGCACAGAGCCAGACATAGGGCTCGAACTCGTGAACCACGAGATCATGACCTGAGCCGAAGTCAGACACCCAACCAACTGAACCACCAAGGCACCCCAAACCAATATATTTTCTTAACCAAAAATTTCAACTGGTAATAACTCTAGTGTACCTGTGGACACCATGACATAGAGTCTTTGAAAAAAAAGAATGTCCTGGAAAATTCAGGTGGTGTGCTCAACATCGCTGCATAGCCTAGAGTGGAGAACTGCGCAGGAGGACTGTAAATAATTCCAAGAGCCACTGCCCCTCCCCACTTCCTGGATACAAGGCCCTGTGCTTGGAAACAGCCTCCAGCTTGTTCCCCATGACACCCCCAGCTTGGACTGGAGAACACATTTGGGGGGCAGTGTACGGCTTGTTCCTCATGACCCGCCCCCCAACACTGGGCAAGAGAACCCGCTCAGGGGCTATCAGCTGCACGAGGACCGGCCAGACCTCGCTGGCTTGAAATGTCCTTCTGCTTCCAGCTTTCAGTGAACACCGCCTTCACCCACGAACAGATGTACTGAGCTCTTAATATAGACCGAAGCGCCACAGCGAGCACATAACTGCTCCTGCCTTTCCCAGACAGCCCTGCTTCCCCTTACATCAGCTCACAGGAATGCACCGTGGCCCTCCACAGGCCTCCACTGCACTGGCAGCGCCCCTCCCCCCACCCCCACCATGATTCACCAGGGCCAGGCCTGGGGTTGCAGATACAAGGCGCTGATGGGTGCTGGGTGGACAGCCCGCTCCAGGCCTGGTGATTGGAGACCAACTAGAATGAGATGCAGCTTTGGGCCAAGGGGGAAGCCTGGTTGAGAAAGAGGTGTCTAGCCTATGGCAGGGTAGCAGGAAGAACAGTCAGCTGGGCTAGTGCAATTAAAAATGAAAAGTCCTGCGGTGCCTGGGTGGCTCATTTGGTTGAGCCTCCAAGTTCAGCTCAGGTCATGATCTCACAGCTCATGAGTTCGAGCCCCGCATCGGGCTCTGTGCTGGCACTGCTGAGCCTGCTTTGGACCCTCTGTCCCCTTCTCTGTACCTCCCCTGCTCGTGCTCTCTCTCAAAAGTAAATAAATCATTAAAAATGAAAAGTCCTATTGGCTCTTCCCCAGTCAAGGAAGAAGCCAGATTTTGTAGGGATTCTGCCAGCTACTGTGTATGTCCATTCCAATGATGAAGTCCAGAATTAGGAATAACCACAGGATGAGTTCAGCGACCCACTGGGCCCACTGTGAGACAGGCTCAAGCTAAAACCCCACTGATCACCTGACTCACATAAGGCCCTACTCTGACTGGAGGCCCATGGTGATATTTGAGTCTCCCAAGCATCAGTGTCAACACAGCCTGCGTCCAGTTGTGCCCAAAAGTTCTGATTATTTCTTCTTCCTCAGTGCACAGCTACCTTGGTTAAAGGCCATCAGTCCCTTTCAGGAAGGATGAGAAATTGATTAACAGTGTAAATTTTTGGCAGTGTATCGGGGTCCTTCCTCAAGGAGACCCGGCCTCCCTTTTACTCAAAGGGCTCTGGGTGTGTAAGCTGGCTCAGGTCTGGGTATTGACTTTCTGTTTATATAATTCAGGTTAGATTTTTGTTCTCTTGGCCTAGATTTTCTATTCTTAAAGAATGTGGGGGAAGGCATGCCTGGGGGACTCAGTCAGTTAAGTGTCCAACTCTTGATTTTGGCTCAGGTCATGATCTCACAGACGGTGAGATCGAGCCCCATATCAGGCTCTGTGCTAACAGTGCGGTGCCTGCTTGGGATTCTCTCTCTCCCTCTCTCTCTCTCTCTTTCAAAATAAATATACTAAGAAAAAAATAGAACAAGTAAGGACTTAGTAGATCTCCTCCTATCCATTTCATTTCTGGGAACACTGTGATCAACAAGACCTCATTGTGGCCGTGCAGGAGTCCAACTTTTCTGACTGCTGCCCGGATTCTGCTGGTCTTTCGGGAGCCACGCCCACCTGGCCTTGGGAGGCTGAGTGCTGCTGCCCTGGGAGCCAGTCACCACCTCCTGCATTTAGGGTGAGGAGTGGCTTACAGAGAAGAGCTACCAGGGAGCTCTCTTAAGAACACCAGGGTTTCCCTCACAAATTTATTCCTCACGCATGGGGAAAGTGTGTCTTCCAGACCCTCCCAGGCTGGGTGAGGTCTCAAATGACCAATCCACTCCAACATCCGGTCTTCTTAAGCCTTTGAATCCCTTCCTCTTCTGGGTGTCCTCTACTGGGTGCCAAGGAGATTGGGCATTTCCATTTCCATCCTGGTGGGCCACATTTTGGTTCATGTTTCAGCGAACCAACCAAATCATGAGAGCTCTTCCTAACTCCCGAGATGCAATATCAGATGCAGAATCTCTGCGTAGTAAGCTCATATCAATAAATCAGTGGCGACCTCAGGATCCTGCCTTAAGGAAAAGAAGACTACGATATGCTCCTGGCCCCAAGGATGGGGCCCTGAAGCTTCGGCCTCATTATCGTCAATGAGTATTTATGGCTTCCCAGGCCAGAGCAGAACGCAGCACAGGGAAAAGCAGCCCTTGGTGGGGAAACTGACCTCACTCTTGGCAACCCTGTAGGGGTGAGGACTCTGAGGGGCATGTGGGTACCCACTGGGCTCCTCTTACACAGACTGGAGGGCGGAAGATGGCAAGTGGAGAGGTTCTCATGAAGAGCTGCAGTCCCGGACCTGCAGGTAAACCGAGGCCTCTGAGTGGCCACCAGATATGCCAGTTAGCAGAGTTAAGGGTAGAGAGGCCTCAGGCGCTGCCCTGGTGAATGTCTAAGGCTGCGGGGCCCCTTTGGACCTGGCGGGTCCCAGGAGATACCCACCCTAGACAGAATCACTTGGAAAACATCTCCTTCCTAAGGGTGAACGTCCTCCCTGGGAGGGAGGAAGGGATGGCAGCAAAAACAGGGACAGGCTGTGGGAAGGGTGAAAGGGAGATGGGGAAAGATGCTACTGGAAGTCACAGATTCAGGGATACTTGGCTCCCAGGCCTCTGCTGTCTGTATCCTCTGAGCATAGCTCCCAGACACCCTGGGCCAGGCCAGCCCCACCCCTGCTCCCAGGCTCAAGAGCCAGCACATGGTGGGGGCCGTGCCCTGTCACCAGGCCTCCCCTGGGGCAGAGCAGAGCGGGAGCTGGGGCTGAGCTGATGGCAGCAGTGAGGAGGACACAGCCAGGCTCTCCTGCAGGCTCTGCAGGTGGGTTCTGTGACCTCTGAGCCCCCCGCCCTTCAGGCCTGTGTCTCTTTCCCTGCAGATTGAGGGCTTAGACCGAGTGATGGCAGCAGCCATGCCCTGGGAATCCCAGCCCATCACGTTCTCCAGCCGGCTGCCATCACAGCCTCTAACAGCACCTCTGAGGCAGAAGCTCCCTTGCGGGCCCTTCTTTTTCGGGGCCCCACTGTCAGCCGAGTTTAACATAAAACAAGCCTACAAGGTTTAGCATCCACCCTCCCGCCCCTCCATAGCATCTCCAGCTAGAGGTCAGACATTGGAGCTGGTTTTCCGCAGCGTCTGTTAATCATCTCCCAACTTGGCCAAGAACGCCACCCGCCACCAACACCCTGGATGCCTCCCAGCCCTCAGAGTTGTTTCCTGTCCCCAGCTGAAAAGAAAGCAAACCACAGATGTGGGAGTGGGAGGAGCAAGGAGAGGGTTTCCAACCCAGCCCATGAGGGGATCACTTGGCGGGGCGGGAGGGCTGGGGGGCAGCTGTCAAAACAGATCTGAGACCCCTCCTCGAAAGCAGGAAAAGGGCTCAGGATTACCCACAGGTGGGGAGATGGCCTTCAGATGCCATGTGAACAAGGCACGTGCTGCCTGGTCATGGGCTGGTGGCCGCCTTTGCCTTCCTAGGACTGGACTCACCCCTGCCACTAGGCTGGCAGCTCTGGTGGGACCAGCCAGGGGAGGGGTTTGCTTTTCTTGGCTTACTTGGGTCGGAAAAGCTGAGATGGTGTCCCCAGAGACAGGGCCGCCAGCTGGCAGGAGTTGTCCAAAGACTCAGAGGGTTGAGACCACACCGCCTCCCAGCTGCCCCCTGTGCAACCAGGAAGGTCTGGGCCATGTCTGGGGCAGCTGGGGGTGGGAATGGCCACTCAGATCAGCCCCAGGGGTGTTGTGAGCCGGCTCTGCTGCCAGCACTCCTCCCTGTGGTGGACTGGAGGCTCCAACTAAAGGTGGCCATGCCAAGCCCATGGAGGGGTGCAGCCTGGACTGACCCACGGATCTGGAGGGAGAGCTGGGCTTGGAAGCCATGTCTCGTGACTCCGAAGTTCCCTGTCCCTGGTTTGAACAGAAAGATGTAGTGTTGTGAGTCTACACTCTCTGAGTATAGACCCTGTAGCTGGAGACCTGTGTTTGGATCCTTGTTCTACATCTTCTCCCTGACTTCGTTGCCTCTACTCTGAAGCAGACTCCTACTTCCTAGTGCTGTGAGGCCTCAATGATGAGGGGCAGAGCCTGGCACGGAACGGGCACTCAGAAACAATCGTCATTATCAGTAATAAGAGGAGATAAGAAGACCCCACTACCAGCCAGGGCCCTCCAGCGGCCAGCTTGTCACAGGGTTGACCCCCTTCACCGGATTCCCCTGGGGGCAGGTTGGCATCTATCCACCCCCCGGCCCCCTGGGACATGCCAACTTTGGAAACCACAGCAGGTAAGGTTTAACTGGGATTTGTATACCTGAATCGAAACCCACTGCTTTTCAACACCCTGACAATTGCTGAAAAGTACCAGAGTTCTCAGAATAATCTTTTGCTGAGGAAAAGTAAACATTTCTCAAGCTGGCATTGCCCTTGCCCCATCTGGCCTGGGTATTGTTGTCCTTATTCAGGCCCTGTGGTCACCGAGCTGGCTGTCTGCACTGAGAGGTGGGCGTTTTCTGGGCTGGGGCATCCTGCCCGTTGCCTCTGTCCTACTTTCGTCATTCATGTGGGGTCTGTCTCCCACAGGACTGGGAGTTCCTCAAAAGCAGGCTTGCTGGAGGGACACCGGTGGCCCCTGCCACGACACAGGGCCGGGAGGACTCTCCTCGGCGGGGGGCAGACCGCAAAAGCCGACTCCTAACAAGGCAGGGTGAGGGCCCGGGAAGCCCAGGCTCGAGCAGTCCCCTTACTTGTACACTTTGGTGTTGTACGTCTTCTCCCCAGGGAAGCCAAACATGCCGCAGACCACGCGGGAATTCTTGGCTGTCCAGTGCTTGTCACAGATCTGCTTCCACGTCTTGCCGTCCTTCACCTCCACGTAGCCCTCCGTCACGGGGGTGCGCTTGCGGTAGGCGGCCAGGATGGCTCGGATCCGGATGTCCTCCACCTGGATGTTCAGGTTCTGGGAAGAAGGAGGCACAGGCGGAGGGGGTTACGTGCCTGGTTCTGCCCCGGAGGGGTGCCCCTGCCAGTCTGCCTCTGCCCTCAGGCCTCGTACACCGGGGAGGGGGGGGGCGGTCAGGAGCAGTTGGGGAGGAGCCCCAGGACCCTGGCGGCTTCTCCTACATGCTACTAAAAGCCCAGGGAGCACTGTGCCCCAGCCCTCTCCTGGGGGTTCTCAGAATAAGTGAAGACGGTTCTATATTAAAAATAAGTTGGACTTTGTATTTTACTCCAAAGCGCATCTGTGCATACATGCGTGCTGATTGTGGGTGTGCATGGGTGTGTGTCCCCACTAATCTTTCAGTAAAATTGAAGTGTGTCAGGCAGATGAGCCTCAGCCATCCTGATGGTGGTGCCATCTTGCACACTACCTCCTCCCCTGGGGGTTGGCATTCCTCAGTGAGAGCATCCCAGGAAAGAAGGGGGAGGGCATAGAGGGAAGAGGGGGAGGAGAAGCTATGTGCAGGGCCCAGGCCTGCCCAGCAGGGGTGTAGGGATGGACACAGCCATTGGGCTGTGGAAGGAAAGGAAAGATTCCAAATGAGTTGAGGCCCTTGGAAAGCCTACTCCTTGCCTCCATTGCCACCCCTACCCCTGTCCATCTTTCTGTGGAAGTGATGAAAGAGGCAGGACCCCCACAGGAGGAAGTGGAGAAGGCTGGGCATGGGGAGCTCCTGCCTCACTGGGGCTCTCCTCCCCACACCCCTGACACTGAGCCGCAATGTCCGTGCCCCAAGCCTACTCCAGAGGTCTGGAAATTTGGTAGAAGGACAGAAGGCCTCGAGAGGCCAAACTGGATGAGAGAAATGGGGGGCTACCTGGAGTTAGTGATACCTGGGTTCACCTACTCTTCCCCCAAACACTAAGGGAGGTCACTCCCCAATCTCTCAGTTCCAGCCCCTCCTCTTCCTGCCCCTGCCCAATGGGACCACCACCAGCTCTTGCAAGGCTCCCTGAGTCCCTGCCTCCATCTCCCTCTTCCATCCATGTGCCACAGGGCCAGCCACCAGTGCTCTTTCTAAAACAGAGTGATCCTGTCCCTTGACTATACAGTAACACCGAATTACTTAGTGAGGTGCCTGCAGCCGGTCATGACTGATTCCACCTATGCCTCCAGCCCCTTGCTGCCCCCAGCCCCAAATCCATATGATTAACTTCAATACAACAGTAACAGACTCCGTGTGTGAGCCCCACAAGGAGTGTTTTCTGTCCATTCCCTTACTTAATCCTCAAACAATAGAAAGTGGTGGTTTACAACTCTTGCTATCTTGTTTTCCAGATAAGAAAGCGGAGTCCAGTTATCTCCCAAGAGCCACCTAGAGGCAGGGAGTGCAGTGTGGGCCTGGGAGTGAGCTGGGCCAGGGAGGGAGAAGGGTGGGTCTGGGCAGGGGCTCTGGCAAGGAAGGATGCCCGGGATCTGAGTCCCTGAGCTCCTGTCCAGCCAGGATGCAAATGAACCACGAGGTTGAACAGCACCATTATTTGGGTGCCCGGGGACTCGGGTCTCCTCGCCCTGGCTTCAGAGTGCACAGCCAGACTGTTTCAGCAGTCCGGCAAGGCAGTGGAAAGTATGTGGGCCGGGAGCAATGGCATTTGGCCCCAGTTCCTTTCCATGCAGAGAGGAAGGAAAGCGCCAGGGGCAGGGCTATGTTTGCCAGCTTGGATCCTGGATCCTTTACAGCCTCCATTCAGGCCACAGGACCTGTGCCACCAAGACACGTGGACGCGGGCAAGCCAAGAAAGGGCCTGCGCTCTGGACCAGCCTGTGGGCCAGCCCCCTCCTGCCTCTTTCCACCTCGGGGGGCGGGGCTGGAATTCCAGTGTGTAATGCGTAATGACCAGAAGGAAAGTTACCATGGGGCACCAGCCCTGTGACTCCAAGGGGCAGGGGGGCTGGGCCGACTTCAGTACATTCACAGATCCAGCCCTCCTCACTTTCCCCCTGCCCTGGGGCAGCAGTGCAGGCTCACTAAGGGGAGAAGTCCAATGTGACCCTCAGCATCCCAGCTACGGCCGTGGGAGAGGGGACACAGCAGACCCATAGGCCCTCATCTTGATGCAGGATGGCATTCTCTTCTGCAGAAGTGTGACAGCTGGGGGGAAGCCAGGTGGGCTCAGGATGTGGGAAATGAGGCTTAGAGAAGAGAAAGTGCTAGAGCGAGGGGTCCTTGTCCTTATTCTTCCACCAACTCAGTGTGTGTGCGTACGCGTGCAGGTGTGTGTGTGCGCGTGCGCATGTGTGTGTGTGGTGTGCATCTGTTTGTGCACCTATGCAGTGCAGGAAAGGTCCAGAGGAACTCATTCCATCTAGTGCCTCGAAAAGTGATCAGAGTCAGAGCTGTTACTTCAAAATGGAATGTCTTCTTTTCTCCCTCATTCCATCAGGCTCAAATTCACCTCATTCATTCATTCAAAAAAATATAGTGTCTGCCCTCCATTGGCCACGCCTGGCTTCCTCCCAAAGCCCCAGCCGCAGGGCCCTGTCTCTTCTCTTAATAATAAAAACCACAAGGGCCCTTACTTTCCAAATGCCAACAAGGTCATTACCCATCAGGCTCTGTGCTCGCTCAATCCCCATGACAACCTCGGGGCTGATGGCACACCCCGTTTCCTCCCCCAGGTGCAACATGAGAAAACTCAGCAAGGTTTTGCAACCTCTCCAAGTTCACACAGCCAATACGTGGGTAACCAGGGTGAAAACCGAGTTCTGACTCCAAGCCTGCGCTCTGGACTGGTGGCCTCTCTGCCCTCCCAGCCATGCCCTGTCCATTGCCTGGTATTGAGTTGACCCACCCGGGGCAAGGGCAGGGTCTCAGCCCTCTAAGGGGTCCCTTTGGGTGCCTGCACATTTGAGGTCCTTCCTGTTCTCTGGCTCTGCCGGGAGGAGCCGGGAGTCACACCAGAGTGTACGTGAGGAGAGAACTGCTTCCCAGCTGCTTGTGGACCCGGGCCAGGGGGCGGCAGGGAAGCCCTTCGTGGCCCACGTCCAGGGCTCATTGCTAGTTAACGAGCTCACATAAGCTTCTCAGAGACCTCTGTGTAGGAAAACACACACATAAGCACAGAACTTCCCTCCTTACCTCACTGCTCTGGAATCTCTTCCATAACCACAAGGGTTAGAATTTTTTTCCCCCAGAAGTTCAACTCCAAAAGAGAAGATTTGAAACACTAAAACCTATACATGTTTTTCTTTTCTAACAAAGAGCTCTCTAGACTTGCTGTTATACATTAAGCCCAATGGCCCAGAAGCTGGTAAGGCATCCAGCACATTTTAAACTTAAGGTCTGAATGCTGTCTCTGGTGCCAGAGACAATAGTTCACCCAGATCTCCAAAAAGGCCTTCCTCCAAGGAATGCATAGAACCTTCTAGACTTGTCCTACTCAGAACTCCTCTCATCCCCAGAAGAGCTTGAGAGTGATGATCACGCACCTCCCAAAGGGAAAATCAAGGTGCAGGGAGCTCAGGCGCCTGCCCTGCTTCGGTCAGCGGGCTGCTGGAGAGAAAGCTAGTGCAGGGGTACCAAGGCGGGACTCCCATCTTGTGCCTGCACGACATTTCGCATTTGCAGCATCTGTGTATGACTCGCAAATTCCACAATGTGACCGTCTGGGGCTGTGGCCAACGAGGAAAAATCACCAATTCTGAAAGTCTAGTGAAAGATTGCATCAGGTAAAGATAAAGGGGGAGGCAAGGCAAGCAAGCAAGCCTTACGAGGACGCGCTTCGCCATCGGAAAGCTCGGCGCCAGGTGCAAAGCCCCCCACCCCAGTAGGAGTGCTTGTAAGGGCCCCATCTTAGCCCAGCTATCCCCCTTCCCTCTGCTCTAGAAGCTATCACTGAACACCAGCCCAGGCCCTCCCAGCGGAGAAGGCAAGCCGGGAGTGGTGTCGAGGAGGGAGGACCGCAGCTGCAAGACACATGAGCTCACTGTCATCCCAACCACAACGCACGGCTGGCTAACGGCACACAACCTTGGCTCACTTGGCAAGACCTGTCCCTGCACTGCTAGCGGGTTCCTGCATCTTGCTCTCGCAGCCGTCGGCTGGCTTTTTTCAGCTGTTTCAAAAACTGGCCTTCCAGGGGCGCCTGGGTGGCTCAGTCAGTTGAGCGTCCGACTTCGGCTCGGGTCATGATCTCACAGTTCGTGGGTTCGAGCCCCGCATCGGGCTCCATGCTGACAGCTAGCTTGGAGCCTGCTTCAGATTCTGTGTCTCCCTCTCTCTCTGACCCTCCCCTGCTCATGCTGTCTCTCTCTCTCTCTTAGAAATAAATAAAATATTAAAAAAAAAAAAACTGGCCTTCCAGGGGCACCTGGATGGCTCAGTCGGTTCAGTATCTGGCCTTGGCTCAGGTCATGGTCTCGCCGTTTGTGAGTTTGAGCCCCACATATGGTGAGCACGAGCCCCCCTCTGGGTGAGTACAGACCCCACTTTGGGCTCCACACTCTCTCTCCCTCTCTCTCTGCCCCTCTTGAGATTCTCTCTCTGTCCTTGCTAACTCGCACTCTCTCTCAAAAATATAATAATAATAATAATAACAATAATAATGTCTTAAGAAAAAACAAGATAGAGATTCATCTTCCCAACCCCCAGCCTGGCACCTTCCTCAGCACCTCACACCCAACACATCCAAGATACCCTCAACCTTTCCTCTGCCCTCCGAGTCAGGCTCCTGCCCTTACAGCTCGCGGAACACAAGCCTCACTTGTCTTCCGCACCTTCCCCTCCTCACACCTGCAGCCACATGGCAATGCCTTTTCTGGCCTTCCATCGCCGCCCCACCCCCACCTTCCATCTCCAGGTGGCATGGAGAGCCGTGGAAGTGAAAGAAGGCACTATAATCCCATCGTTTCACACAGGCTGAGCGTCTCCCCCACACGGGGGGAATCGCTGCCCCGGTCCACCTCACATGCCACCAGCACACTCATCCACCTTGCCCACTGCGTGTCCACATCTTGCT